TATAGATATATTTTTATATAGGAGTATATATATTGCGGTTCTACATAAGAGTGAGATTCTGAAACAGGAAGGCACAAGAAACTCCTCAATGGCAAACTCTGCATTGTTTTAAAAACCATCCCAAAAAATCCTTACCAGGAAAGCCCAGAAATTTCTACCCGAAGAAATCTTATCTTGTGTTGTTGTTCTTCATCAGCTCTTGTTTCCACCCAAAATCTGGGTTTGGAGATTCTGGTTGTCTTCAAGCAATCTATCATACTCCAGCAACAGCTCCGCAGACTGTTTCTGCAGAGCCGAGACGTGGGCTTCAGCGGTTTCGAGCTTCTTATCTTTATCTTTGGATTCGGCTTCCAGCTTTTCGAGGTTTTGAGACAGCGATGACAGTTTCTCCTGTAGCTGCTTCATTTCCTTAGATGCCTTCTCTTCTTTCTCCTTGAGCTCGGTTCTCTCCTTCTGAAGCTTCTCGAGCTCCTCTTTCGACATACCGATGTTGCTTCTTAAATACAGTAGCTTTGTGAGGTAGTGATGCATCCGGTCGATTACGAAACCGAGGAAGAGAACAACACCTGCAAGATCATAAAATGCTTTTTGAGTTTTCTCAAAACTTTGAACATACACCGTAAAAGTTCACATCATCAGATGCAAGATATCAAAATAAGATAGGATTTTAATCAAGAAGCCAGTTTAGTTTCATGAACAGGCAAAACAGAGAAAGAGCATCTAGCATGTGAGCTATGTCGTATCAGAGAAACAGTAGCTGCTGAAAGAATTGTTCTCTACGGATTGACCATTGAACTGTTAATCTGTATGCCGGGAAATGCCTCAACTGACTCAAGTTTAAGCCTTCCAGAAATCAAAAAGACACTGCAAACTGTTGCTTATTCTCCTCTAAACTACAAGTAGAACTAGCCTCCTAATGCATGGACCAGCTAGATTATAAGCACAAGAAACAAGCAGACTCTAAATTTGATTCAGATCACCACAGCCAATCAAAAGCTGAACACTCTACACAGACATTCCAAGTGCAGAAAAAGGAATGCATGCCATCCGAGGTAACAATAGAATGGGAGTACACAAGCAACCGAAGAACCCTAACTTCCAAAGTTAAACACCTAAGACAAAGCTGGGAACTTTCTTCCAAGATTCATGCTTTAAAATTCTTTCTTTTTTTCATGGAGAAATTGGAAAAGGGAGATTAGAGACTGACCCATCAAAGAAGCCTCGAGCAAGTGGGTTCTCCAAAGCACTTGATCCATGGGAGACATGGTACCGAGTTTGGCACCCTTGTTCTGGATCTTGACGATGCTCATGAGAGTCGACAAAAGAATCACAGACATGGTTCCAGCGATGGTTTTCACAGTCGCAGGGCCCTTCCCCATCTTTAGCTGGTCCAAGCTCTTCATGACAAGCTCTCTTAAAGGACCAATCTTCACCAGCATTAGGAATGCAATCGCACCCTCTACGAACAGGACCAGAAATAGCAGCTGAATCATTCCGATAACCCCCAAAGTTCGCAGCTTTACCAGAATTCACGCCAACGCAAAGCCAAAACCCTAAATTCTTGCTTTTATTTCTAATTGGGTATCAATCTACAGAACCGAAAGCCGAAACCCAGATCGGAAAACACAAGAATGAAGAGAAACAAGCGTGTTCTCTGAAACCCATTTGCTTTTTCTCAAGGAATCGGTAGCTAGAAACTGATCATCTTTTCTTGATACCACCAAGAAATCATCAAACAGACAAGGATCTAAGAGAAATAAGAAGAGGTTATGGATGGGTTTTCCGGTGGAAATGAAAATCCTGCGGAAAAGGAGATCCGTGGGTTCAGAAGGAAAGCGTAAAGGAGAAGTGATGCATGTTAGTGTTTAATTTAACCTAATAGAGATCAATGATTTGAGATTAGTGAGAAACTGATCAGTGAACTGTACACTGCTTTCTTTCGGGACTTTACCCTTAAAAGACGAATTATAGAAAGTATTAGGTAAAATGATATTTTTCTACACTTACTTCTTAATGTGATTTTTTTCTAAATGAATTTTTAATTTGATAAAAAACTATATCAGATGTGCCAAATTGATACACGAACTACTCAATTTAACTGCAATTTCCTACACAATCCAAAAACAGTATTAAATGTCCGTTAACCGATGACGTGACACGCCACGTGGCCTCCGACATGGCACGCCATATGGAAAATTTCACCATGTTAGTATGCCACATCAGATTTTAAAAAAAAAATAAAAAATCCGAAAATAAATTGCAAAAAAATAAAAAAAAATGTTTTTGAAAAAAAAAACAAAAAATTCGAAAAAATTACAAAAAATAAAAATAAAAAGCAAAAAAATACACATATATATATATATATATTCATATCTATATACAAATACAAATATAAATATATATTCTCCTATATATGTATATATATATATGTATTTATATATATATATATGTGTATATATATATATGTGTGTATATATATAAATATACTTGTATGTATGTATATGCATATATATTTGTATAAATGCATGTATATATGTGTATATTTTTTATTTGATATATATAGACATATAGATACATAGGAGAATTTATGTTTATATTTGTATTTGTATGTTGATATGAATATATATATATGTATTTTTTATTTTGTATGTATGTATATATATATATGCATATATATACATATATATACGTGTATATATATTTATATATGTGTATATGTATATATATTTGTATAGATGTTTGTATATATATGTGTATATTTTTTATTTTGTATATATATAGATATATTTTTATATAGGAGTATATATATTTATATTTATATTTGTATATAGATATGAATATATATGTATATATGTATTTTTTTGCTGTTTATTTATTTTATATTTAAATTTTTTCAATTTTTTTCAGATTTTTTTTAAATAATCTGAGGTGGCATGTTGGTGTGGCAAAAATTCATGTGGCGTGCGACGTCAATCGCCACGTGGTATGCCACATCATCGGTTAACGAACACTTAACACTGTTTTCGGATTGTGTAGGAATTTGCAGTTAAATTGGGTAGTTCGTGTATCAATTTGGTACATTTGATAATTTGGTGTAGTTTTTTGTCAAATTAAAAATTCGTGTAGAAAAAAGTCACATTTTACAAAATTTGTGTAGAAAAATGTCATTTTCCCAAAGTTTTAAGGCATGCTTACTCCATTTTAATTAAGTTATTATTGTACTCATTTTTTTTATCTTTTAAAAAGTTTTATTTATTCAATTTAATTTACATTGAAAATACAATTAAAAAATTTCTTTTTCTTTAATTTAATCTCCTATTGGTATTATATTAATCGGATCTGAAAAATAATCATACCTATTTTTTTATCGAATTTATGTGAGAATACAGTTAGATATAAATTTCTCCATTCCTTTTTTTAAATTCCACAATCCGAAATATAAGTCCCTAGTGTTTAACGCTAAGATTGTATTTGGGAGCGATGACAAATCGCTAAGTTTATTAATAAGGTGAATAATAATAATAATAATAATAATAATAATAATAATAATAATAATAATCCCAAGCAAAGTTTCTCAATAATAATAAAAATTTGCTTTTTCTTTAATCTCCTATTAGATTAATCGGATCTGAAAAATAATAATACTTATTTTTTTTATCCAATTTATGTGAGAATACAATTAGATATAAACTTCTCCAATTTTTTTTTAAATTCCACAATCTGAAATATTTTAATGCTAAGATTGTAGTAGCGATGACAAATTGCTAAGTTCTGACTGGTGGGGAGGAAAATAATTTTTTGGTTTATATGATCCATATACAAAGGCTGCTTCTGGATCGGAGGTTTACATAGTCAGCGCACCTGAAAGGTAACAGAAAGTAGCAGTTAGGGGTCTTCCGTTATTAAAAAAAAAACAAATTGCTAAGTTTATTAAACTGGTGAATAATAATAATAATAATTATCATCATCATATAGATGTAATGTAAGCTTTTGGGCCAACTGGAAATTTGTTTCCGTTGGAAGCTAAAAAACATCACGGTGTGCGGTTGTTAAATAGGAAAACAGAATACCTTTTGGCTACGATGCCGTTTTACTCGTATATCGGAATTCACCGTTACGATTGAGACACGTGTATGAACCCCTCCCTACACCGACCGCGTGCCTCTATATAAACTCAAATTCATATCATGCAATGTAAACTATATAAGCCCTAAGGCCGAAGATTAATCACCAAAAGGCGTCTTTCGTCTCCGGAGATTTTTCTAGTTTCAATTCCCGTGTGATTCGCTTTACCGTACGGCGACTATCACGAACCAATCTTTGATTGTCTAGGTTTTTCAGATTCAAAGGTGCGATCTTGGATTCTATGTCCTAATCCATCAAATCTCATCGTGTTCGGTTATGGGCAGAAGCGATGAATTGTGATTTATTTCGTTTTGGTTTCTCTTCCGATTGATCTCCCTTTGGGTTTTTCTTCGTTGATTAGATTGTTGCTGTCTGAATTGTTTCTGGGACATTAGGAAATTTGAATGTTCAATTCTTTTTATTTTCTCTGTTTTGAAGTTTGAACTTGGTCAATTTGTTTACTGTAATTAGCCCATAGAAAAATCTCATGGAATTCTGGTGAAATTTTGTGGCTTGAGTGAACTGTGAAGAGGGTTTTTTAAATCTCCAACTGTGGGAAATAATCTCTCGCAGCTCTCTTGCCACATTGAGTGTTGAATTTGAAACCTGCAGGGACAAGGATAGTTAAGATGGATACCCAGGGACTGAGGGGAGCTGGTCTGCGTCGACGGAGGAAGGCGAGTATCGATTTGAATGTACGACCCAATGAAACTCGAGATCGAGAAGGGACCTCTAACTCCGGAATTGCACGTGGAGTTTCTGTCGGTAACAATCAAGGGGAGTCTGTACCTGCTCCTCCTCCTCCTATTGATGTCGATGCTATCGATGATGATGATGTTGTGGAATCCTCTGCAAGCGCTTTTGCCGAAGTGTGCTCTTTATCTTTTCTGTCACTTTTCCTTTGGCAACGAATAAGCTTTGTTGTTCAGACATATACTGTTGGTGTTTCACTCTGATGCCAGGCTATAAACAAATCGACAGGGACAGGCTTACACCGGAGGCCTCTAATGGTTGATGTAGATTCAGGTAAATTTAAGTCTTTCGGAGATTTAAGGCTAGATTTATCTGTTGTGAAGGAGAATTTTAAGATGGACCAGTATATGTGCATCACATGTGGGATGCCAGATGGGCAATTTGGGCCTTGATTGGTTTTAATTCTCTGGCGATGCTTGAGAGATGGCTCTTTTTCAATTTTGCACATAACTGAAATGCTTGCTTGGCGTGGATGGTATGATTGCAGGTCGAACGAGTAGAATGCCTGCCAACATCAGCATAAAGAGGAGAAGGGTTCCGCCTAATCAGCCTGTCATTGATTGTGATCATGTCGTTCTGCTTACGGTTCCAGGGGTAAGATCCATTTAGATTTCTTTCTTTCCAGTCTATGACCATGTTTGTCTATTTGGACTGACGCTCTGTTATTTATCTTTCTTGTTCAGAGGGAGCCTGTTTCGAAGCCCCCACCACCTCAAGAGGAGCCAAAGTTTACGTGTCCAATTTGTATGTGTCCATTTACTCAGGAGACGTCAACGAAGTGCGGTCATATATTTTGCAAGGAATGTATCAAGATGGCAATATCTAGCCAGGGTAAATGCCCTACATGTAGGAAAAAGGTTACTGCTAGAGATTTAATTCGGGTGTTCCTTCCAGCCACCACCCGCCATGTAAGTCTGCTTAGTGGAATTTGTTCTACTCTTGGATTCTAAAATTTACTAGAAGCTCTACTTACCTAAAATTTGATCCTTCACTGAGCAAAAATGCATTCCCCGCCCCCCCCCCATTTGCAGGGTTAATGATCTAATTACCAGATTGGTTTTGGAACAAGGAGGGGATGTCAAAAAGAGGTGGGCGATTATATTTGAACAATTTCTGTCTTCTGGAAGTGAAGGTAGTGTCTGGGGATTATGGAACCTACTTTTTAATGTATATCACCGACTCACCGGTATATTAACCGTCTAAACTCTCCTGTTCCTAGTTATTGTTCTATCTAATGGAAGAGATGTATTGGGGAAAAGAACATTGAATGTTAATGAAGCATTTCAACAGCCATTTCGCCAGTAACCTCTGAGTACGTGCAGTTCCTGTTTTGCGCTTCTTATAACAGCGCATGTTCGATCATTGTTTCATTTGGGCATGATTGATAGTTTGCACGAATGAGTTTTGAAGGAAACTTTATTAGTGCCCCAAGCACTGGGACTAGATTACACAGCAGAAAGCAAACAACAGACACAGGCACATTCGCATAGATGCTCTAACCTTATTTATTTACGTTTCAAAGGGAGACCTGACTCATGCTATAGCATATGTGGCCTTGTCATGGGAATGTAGCAGTGGCAACACCACCGCTACTTCCAGTCTGAGACCCAGCTGCTGGGTTCTTCTCTTTGGGACCAGCAGAAATTGGAAAATGGGCGAACCAGCCTTTAAGGAAAGGCCAGAGAAACCACCAGTCTTGTTGGTTATAGTTGATGGCCTTGTCGTTCTTCACTCGCATATCTCTCCCTCCTTCAATGCCAGAGAGAAGCGCCATCACTACAAGCATGATAACAAGCAATGCCTTGGTACTTTTCTTCTCCATATCTCTCGTTTTTTAGCAGCTTTCTTTTGTTCTTGGCGGTGATGCTGAGAACTCACAGCTCGGTTTTGTAGGCCAAGTTGGTGAAGAGGGCTTGTCTAGTTCATCAATTTAGTGAAGGGTATTGATTGGTTTATGCACAAGAGGTCATGACCCTTTTGGAAAACTGACCACCTAATGACCTCTTGATTTAAATTTCTGCATGGTCCATAGTTTCCGTTCATGTTCTTTGATTTGGATTGTTCTGATGGTGGTGGTTATTCGTGGAAAAATCATCTGTTACAAGTAACAACTCTTCAAGTTTGACTATGCGTTTGATCTTAAGATGCGTTTTGAGTTATGTTCTACCTTCAACAGACTTGAGTTTATGCTCCGAGTCATTCTGAAGCTCAACCATATCGTACAGAAATGGACCATACCAATGGGCATGAAACTTCTCTGCGTTATGCTCGATTTGAGGGTAAAATGGCGTATTTGGGATGCAACTTTCAGGAACTGGAAACCACAAATTGTTTCCAGGGCTTAAACCCGTAATGCCCTGGTTGTACTGTGTGTTCCCTGTTCTTTCTTGTGTTTTCTCCGACAAGTCTGCACAAGAGTTATAATGATATTAGTTTACACAATAGTGCAAGACATCTAAACTAGACAAACGTCTTTCTTCTTTAAGTCTGTAGCTTCTTTCATGTTTGTGTAGGTCTCAATATGAGATTGGATCAGAACATCCATCTTGGTGAAGAATGAACAGCCCTAGGCAGCGGTTTGTGCATCGGATGCTCTGAACCATTTTTTTTCTTCATGACTGATGAGACCGTTGGACTGTAGTAGTCATTGCTCCTCTGCGAAGTAGCTCCTTGTGAATAAACCTTCTTCCCATGGACAAAGCTTCTTTGTTTCTCCAGCATTGCTCTTCGAGCAGCCGAGCTTTTCTGTGGAGTTCGCCATCTATTATAGCTCACACAGCTTTGGCTTCTCCCCACTTTCTGGTGAAACTTGCTCTCTCTTGGAGGGGTCGGGTAGTTTCGGCTCTCGGCTGTTTCTGCAGAGTACATTGTCTCTTCTTCACTACTGAACCCATGATTATTATAGGCTTCAGACACTCCGACTGGCGATGAACTTGAGATGACCTCACTGTGAAAACCATTCACTGAACCTGTCGAAGCAACCTCAGCCTCTCTGTCTTTGTTTGAGTCTTTCACCGTTAGATTCTTCAGAGGATGTTGTTCCATGGCAGGTCTCTTCTCTTCTGGGCATTTTACCGGCTGAGAAGGAAAGTTTGGAACTTTAACAACCCGTGGAGGGAAGTTGATATCCAGAAGCTGTACCGGGCTTGTCTCTTTCTTCCTGAGAGGACCAGATGTTAACTTTGGCGATTCATATATTTCCGGGGTCGGGATACCCTGCACATGTGTATTAGCAGCTTGTGGATCGGGTTTTGAGGTTTCTTCTCTGTCTTCCTCATTATTGTTGGCAGCGGCAACAGAAGAGCTTGAACCAGTCTCATCTCTTGTCTTGGATACAGACAGGGTAGCAGCATTGTCATCAGCAGCAGCAGTTGGCTTGAAAACACGGCGTGTGGTAAAGGAAGCACAAGAATGATCGCTCCTCTGACCCGAAGACAGTAATCTAATGAGTGGCAGCTTGGGTTTTGTATGTTCATCCAGACTACAACCTTCCCAATGCTGATTCAGCCAGTCGCAAATCACCGGTATCGGGATACCAAACTGCATCAATGTCTTCTTCCACGACGAAGTAGAGGATGACGATGAATTCGAGTTCGGGGATGTAGCCAGTTTTCTTGGATCACAGATCATGAAGGCGAGGTTCCCTTGCACGTCGAATCCAGCAGACCCGGGACTCCAGATCATCTCATCGGTTGACAGTTTAATGAGATTATCTGTGGCTACAACCAACTTCCCCTCTCCTACCGTCAGTTGGGTCGTGGAAGTATAACCTAAGAGGTAAACCACGCTACCCAGATCCAGATTCGGCTTAGAACATGTCTTCAAGTAATGCAGCTGCTGGTTCTGGAAAGCTGAGTCGCTGCCATCAATGGGGTCCAAACCAACTATGGTGAGATCGAGAACGGAACTGGTGATGAAAAACCTGCAAAACAGACAGGAGGAACGCAACACTGTTTAGATGACATTCATCTTCTCTCAGTAACAAAATGGGAAAAAACCTGAAAGATGTCCAAGTAGTGACATGATCCAAGAACGAGTAGAGAAGCATCTTTACAGGATGAGTGCCTAATTCTGTAGCAGAGATTTTGGTGACATCCCAGAGAGACAAAGCGACGCGGCAATGATTTCAGAGGGAAAGTACAGTTTTAGCTTTTAAGTTCCACTCAAACTATTGCTAGATCCAGAATCATTACAGACAATATTAAAGGTATTGACTTTGTGCCGATTCTCGAATCTGAGCAGTTTCTCATTTTTACAGACAGAATTCGAACTAATTCAATTCCGAGAGGTGGGACCTACCTGTGAGGAAAGAGGGAGGCTGCGAGGCCGTTCTGGAGACGGATCTCGGCGGACTCGGCGGCGGAGACGGAGGGGAGGTTGAGGTGCGTCGTGAGGAGGAGGTTGCGGTGGATGAGGAATCCGGTTCCCGGAGAAACCCCATTGGCGCCGGGGACGAAGATTCTCGCCATCGCCGGAGCCTTGCCGGAAAATATGGAAGCTCTCATCTTCTCGCTCTTCCTCACCCCTTTGCAGAAGCACCATGAATCCGTTATCACCCTCATTTTCTCCCTCGCACACACTGTCGATTTTCCGGATTCTGGTGAGATGGGTTCGTCCAAATTCGTGGCTTTGGTTCTGGGTTTCGAATGGTGGATCTGAAAAAGGAAGTAAAAAATTACGAGAAATGTCGATGGTGATGAGTTGATGGGTCTGTAGTTGTACGATACATGTATGTTTCTGTCAATGTTTGGGTTCTAAAAATACAAACTTTCTGCGGATGTTTTTGTCCGAGGCGGAAGAAAATCGGGAGACAGGAGATGAAAGAGAGAGGCCGACACACAGACAAAGGAGGAGACGACGAGGGAATCGTGAAGTGAGTAAAGGGATGCTTATTTTCTTTTAGCTGGATTTTTCCGGTTATTTTATTTATGGAATAAAAATTCGAAATAATTCATATTCATATATTTGTTTTTTTGCGTTTCAGTGTGTAACTGAGAGAAAGTATGAGATGACAGTGAGGCGTTGGAGGATCTTCCATGTGATGAACATGGACCATACACTTGTCATGATTACTGATTCAAAGGGCCATTATTAATTTCAAGTATATTCCAAAACATGGGAAGAGTGGTCAGAAAAATCTCTGAATTTCAGTATTCTAGCATGTAAAATTACCTCTTCAGTGGGTTCCAACAGACATCTCATCCATTTACTTGATCTAGTTGATTAATGGTCCTACGCTCTTTACTGTTTTGCAGGTGATGCAGTTGTTTTTATATTCCATTTTGAAGCAAAATCTTTTCTTGTCAATCAAGCAACCACAGAGGAAAATACAGAGGACATGCAATGCAAGATTGAATCTTTCTCATAGATCAAAGGGAAAAGATCATTTGAGTGGTCATCCAACTGGTTAAACGAGAGGGCTTTTCGATCTGACCCCTTTCTGCCTTAGGAAGCATTTGGCCCCTGCAATATTCCTGCAAACAAAGCAAAGGCAATGACAGATAAACCAAAAAGCAACAGGGATAATACAAACGTTATTCTAACTGGCTGTTAAGGGGGCAGCAAAATGAAGAACAAGACAAGATTCAAATGGCACCAATTCCAAATTTCCAACCAGGTAATAGACCATAGCATCCGAGGGAGACTATGAAGTAAAAATGGGGCAAATCAGAAACTGAGCTTTAATCAGGACATCCTTTGCTAGCTAAGAATAACAAAGATGAGCTTGTTGTTACCCACCGACCTGGGAATAGTTGCAGCCTGCAAAAAGGCCAAATCCAGAAGGCAGAGATTGCCACCAGGAAGCTCAATCTTTAACACACTGCTTCATCGACCTTTAGGTAGAAGGTTCTTTACCGAGTTCTGGAGACATTCTGGACAAAATGAAAGGAAAGCATTGCAGCGTGAAGGCATACCGATATCAATACATTCTTCTATAATTGTACATGTAGAAGAAATCACTCACCCTGCTACCATAAAGCAAGACAACAACGATGGACTTTTCACAGTCCCATCACTTAAACATTATATACCTTCGCAAAGCCCTGCACAAATCTCTCAAACACAGCAAATAGTTCTCGAGACCAGGACGCTGTATGTTTCAAATTCTAGGTCAGAAAAAAACCCCGAACTTCACTTTTACAATTGGACAGTAATCAAGTGCCATCAGATGGGATACAAAAAGTAAATCAGTTTTCACTGTTCTTGCGCAGACTACAGCATTAACTCAAAGCCCTTGCGAAGAATTCTCAGACATCACAGGCAAAACAATTCAAGAATCAGAATCTTAAAAGATCTGGGAAACTCACAGATCAGATTATGAAACTGACATTTCACCTCATAACAGGGATTATGAGCCATCAGTCGGGATATGAAAATAAATGACTTCTCACTGCTCCTCAGATTACGTCATCCAAATCTTCAGGAACTCAAAGCCCTTGCGCAAAATGTCCCAAACATCATATGGCATCTTAGCTATCGAATCCACAGGTTACATGCAAACCAAACCTAAACTAAACTTAACAACAGATTCCTTGAAAAAAGACGAAAGAAAATGGCAATAATCCGATCAAGCCGATGTTTTCCCACGGAACATTTTTTATGCGGATAAGAACAAATAACATCAAAATACGAAGCTAGAATCAAAAGTTCGAACATTGACAAAGAAGAGCGAAGATATACCATTTCCCACCACATCTCGCTTTTCCGCCCTTCCCGAACTCCCGAAGTTCCTTTCGTTAGGGTTTTAGCCCAGATCGGTTTTTATCCCATTAGGATTTTGGGCATTTATCTAAGGTAGGGTATTATTGTCTTTTCACTTCAATTTTTACAAACTTATCATCGACTGCGATAAAGTAATCCCCATTTCCAAACAGGTGTCTTTCCCTTTTTGTTTCCGTCCTTGGAAGAGAACCCTAAAAAAATTTCCAGGTGGTCTTCCCCTCTTCTGATCTCGATATACGACAAATCCCAATCAAACTCCATTGTTTTCCGGCGAATTTATCGGCATGGGTACAGCCGTCGGAGGCGGCAGTGATGTGGAGGCGGGATTCGCTAAACTACAGGGAGAGGATTTCGAGTATTACATGCAGACATACTCCATCATGCTTGGTCGGAACTCGAAGAAATCCACCGTCGACGTCGATCTCTCCTCTCTCGGCGGTGGAATGAACATCTCCCGCAACCACGCTCGGATCTTCTACGACTTCACGCGCCGACGCTTCGCCCTCGAGGTCCTCGGCAAGAATGGCTGCCTCGTTGAAGGCGTCCTCCATCTCCCGGGAAATCCTCCGGTGAAACTCGATTCTCAGGACCTTCTCCAGATTGGGGACAAAGAATTCTACTTCCTGCTTCCGGTTCGGAGCATCCTAGGTGGTCCGTTGGGACCCAGGCACTATGTCTCGAGTCATACTAGTGCTGGGGCTGTGGTTCCATACCACAACTATTATTCGGGTCCTGGTTCTGGGTCGGGTAAGAAAGGTGGGCGGGGTAGAGAGTATTATGAGGAGTATGACGATGATGATGATATCAGGAGCAGTGGGAAGAAGACGAGGAGAGATGGGTATGATGGATATGGCGGTTCTGCGCCTGTTTCCGGTGGTAAAAACCAGATTTTCATGAAAGTTTGAGCTCTTAGCGTTGCTTCTCTTTGCAAATAATCTAGCATTGTTTTGGGGTTTGTCACTCAAAGTTCTGAAACTTGCTCATAATTCTGGATTATATGGAGCCCATGGTGCATATAATAACATGCTTATTTGATTGCATTCTTTGTAGTCGAGTACGATTTAGTCATGGATGTGGCGCTATGGTCCTAAAATGATGCAAAAGAGCTCAGGATGAAGAACTAGGGTAGTTAGAGTGAGTGTATCTGGCAAATTTTGCTGCTTGAATTCGCTTTAGATATTTACTTTTTTATTGCCCCATGTTTCTCGGGTGAACTTTGTTCTAGACGAGTTGTGTTACTGAATGCTAACAAAAAAAATAAAATCAGATGCTATTCCCTTTATAGTGACATTTTCTGTGCAAGTTATCAATTCCATGATTTGGATTGTGCTCTTTAAAAGTTTGTGGGTATCCATTCCTCTTTGTTTCCACGAAATTTTCTTTATGCTAGAACTACCCAATTTAGCTTCAGAGCTGCACTAAGAAAAGGGTACTGCATTTAATTCGGAAGATCACATCCACTTCATCTCTGCAGAGAAAAAGGGAGAGGGAAGGTCGAGGGTAGATCGTGAAGCTGATGATCAACAAGTGTTGCAGCTTGAGGAAAAGGATGTCGTGTCATCTGTCGCCACTGTGCTGTCTGATTTGTGTGGTCCGGGGGAGTGGATGCCTATGGAGAAACTTCATTCTGTGGTTAGTTCATGCACTAGTTACCCTCTCATCTTCTGCATAGTGCATACACTAAAATTTCATGGATTTTCTATGTTTTAATCTCTAAAACACCAAATTCCACTGAGTTCCAGATCATAATTGAAAGCTAGCTTGTAGGGTCCCATAACGATGTGAGATCATACGACACTAGTACACTTCCGACCCCCTAATCCACTCCTGTTGGCCTCCCTTTGTGCTATGCAGTTCATATGGGTTTGCTAGCTGGTGGATAGAACTCACCCTTAAAAAATAGCTTGCAAAGAGAGGGTGCTTAGTTTTAGTCGTACACCGCTATGGGGATAGAACTGACCCTTAGAAGTTAAAAGGCGTCCCTGTATACAAGCCATCAACCATTCTATGGCCTGGTGAGGAGTGGTCTGGCACATGACACGGGTTTTACAGTTTCCTAAGTAAATTTGATCGAGTAATGAGTTAGAATTGTTTGGGTCATTCTATATCGCAGTGATTGAGTTGAAACTTATTCAAGGTATGTCTTATGTCTTTTTATGCTTGTAAACCTCTGTAGATACCTGCTGAAAAAGTTCTGCAGTGAGTAAATGTTTCTCCATCAGTATTTTTTAAGGAAACCATTCTTAATTGGGAAACCCGTGTATACACATTAGTTCACTAGATTGTGATAGATTGATCCACTTGTTGCATAGACTTTCATCCTGTCTTGTATATCTCAACTGTAGTTGTTGTAAAATCCAGAGATTTAGTTATGCATCATCACTACTTGTGTGGTTTCAGATACTGGAGAATTATGGTAGCGTGTGGCACCACAGTCGCGTAAGGAGATACCTCACACCCGAGGACTGGCCCGTTCCTGAAGCAAAGGGCAAACCATGGTACGGATTGCTCATGTTGCTGAGGAAATACCCGGAGCATTTCGTGATCAACACGAGATCCAAGGGCAGGGTCACCCTCGAATTCGTCTCTCTTGTCTCTTTACTGTCATGAAACTAGATCGAAAAAGAAGCCATTGGAAGGGCAAATCTGCTCGTCTTGTTCCATGGAACCTACCCTTAATGTTAGTGCAGTATAATGTTTTGTTTGATGGGTCAAAAGATCAGATGGGCCCACCATGGTGTTGTTTGTAAAGGAGGAGTTTTGTGTTTAATGTCGCCGTGTTTTTTTACATCTGGTGGAACGTTTTTTGATATCCAACAAAAGCATAGAACGTCCTGTCGTCTTGCTGAACCTTTGGCCACTGTTTTTTTTTTGTAAAATCTGACTTCAAATGAAATGAGACGTTTTCCGTTCCCGTGATCGTGAACAGCAGGGGGAAATTAACAACAGAAAATTGGATTGGATAGAAGAGAAATCGTGAATTTTGCACCAAGCAGCAAGAATGGCAACAGCTAAACGGCAGGTAGTCCGGATATTGGGCTCATTTGTTGGGTTAGGCCCAGTGAGAGACCCAATAATCCGAGCCTCCTTGTCATTATCTCCGGCTATATGTCTGATGTCTATTCCTCTTCGGAATCCAATTAGGGTCTCCGACATTTCCAGCATTCGAATTCGATAATACAAAAGATGATTTACGACGTCAACTCTTCTCTCTTCCGGTCCTTCCTCAGCCAGAAGGGTGGAGCTTCCGACAAGAGGTCGGTCTCTCTCTCTGTCAATTTGTCGGTCTAACCATGAGCCATTCTCGTTCAGTCGAAGCTCTTCCATCATTGATTCGTAACTATGTCTTCGTGTGATTAAAGTCTTTTTTTCCTGCGAAAATCTAGTGTTAGTTATGAATTTGGTCAAATCTTTTCTATCAAAGCCCTTTTTCTGTGAATCAATGGTTGTCGTGTATCGGCAGGAAGAACGAGGAACAGAAACCAAGAGAGCAGAAGCCGAAAGCTAGCGAGAACAAGCCTGTCATGAACGAGTAACAATGCATCCTCTCACTCTTTTGATCCCTTTTTTTTTTTGTATTTGAGACTTGTTGCCTTCCTTTGTCCTCTTTGTAATCACCTTGTGTGTTTTGTGTTTGATTTCAAACCAAAAAAAAAAAAAGAATTTTGAAATTTCATCCTGTTTGTGGTTTTTTTGTGGGCATCCCTCAACTCAGCACCCGTTCCGATGTCCAGAGGAAGGGCTTTCTCCGTTACCTGGCAGTGATAACAGAAGGTTCCTTTAGTAGATCATTGGAAAAAATGATGATAAGCTTATAATATAATACCAACTCACCTCTAGAAGCAGATCTCCTCTCCTCCACGATAGCTTCCCACCCACCAATGATTACAGGCGAAGCCTATCAGCAACAAAGGTTAATAATGATACAATGTCTTGCCAATCAGCAATTAAAAGATCAGAAAAGAATTTTTAGTGCCCATGAAGAGGAAACTCTCGACTCCCCGACATATATGAGGCCATTTTCAGCAATACGTTGGAGCGTAAAAACCTATACCTCTATCGCCCTCCGAGCTGCAAGCGCCTCCTCAAACTCCACAGACCCAAAAGCGAATCCCTGTCAATGAGAAAACAAATCTAAGATCAGTGTCCGAGACAAAGGCTTGCAGATTTTGTCAACCTGTCTGGTTAGCAGATTTGTCAATCTGTACCCTTTGATGTTCAACTTGGATTCCACCGCTTCTAATGGTTCCAAACTGCTTAAATTCATTCTCCAGCATGGCTTGGGTTGCATTGGGAGGGAGATTCTTCACGTGAATATATGCACACTCAGCTGCAGCTGATATATACAAAAAGTTTAAGAACGTATAAGATTTGAAATCTAAGAAAATATAGAAATTGAAAATCACCTTCGGAATCCTGATTGACCACATTTTCAATAGCATCAGCGGCCACAAGAACTGCGTGAGATTTTGCCACTGGAGGATCGGAAGCCGCTTGTTGTTCTTTGTCTTCTGATACCGGCTTTGGATGAAGTGACGTGGCAGCTAAAACTCCAGTTTCCTCCTCCATGGCCTTCAATGATGATCTCAGTAACTTCGCAATACTAACTAGATAATGCAAGCAATACATAGACAAGAAATTCAAGTAGAAACTCACGGTCTGTCCAATTTCAACAGAGGCGTAAGCTATGTGGGGAACAACATCCTGAGATCCAATTTCATGTTCAGAAAGTTTTTGTGAACCATCTGTAACCTCTTTGCCCGTGATCTCCAGTTCCGCGACTTTATTGATGATCTCAGGAACTGGGGCTTTCTCTTCCATGGCTGGAGTATCCAAGGGCTTATTACAGGCTTCCTCATCTCCAGGATTGACCGATGTAGAAGCATTATCGCCTTTGGTTGAGGCTGATTGAAATGGGACTGCATATACTTAGCACTAAAACAGGCAAACAGAACACTGAATACAGAATGAATGGAGTTTTAACCTACCAAGGGGAGGAGGAATGGATGCTTCAGAGGCTTTCCTAGTTACAATATCGCCATCTTTGGTCTTCAGTTCATCAACAAATCTAAAGACGTCATTTAAGGCGAAGTAACCATTTTCTTGGGGAGCAAGGACGAAAGTCTGGATGAATTTTCTTTTGATCTTCGTCTCACGAAAAGGAAAGTAGCCAATAACCACAACGAGCACACATTCTTTGCAAGACATTTGGGAATCCACAGTACTTATCTCAGCAGCTTTAAAATCTCCATAAGCTAGTCGAAGAAGATTCTCATCCGTACCCTGCTACCAGTTCAAATCAAACAAACATAACTTTAGCAAAGTTTCTAAGACAATGATGTTAGGGACCATGCAACGAAAAATAAGAAGGAACTTACGTTCGAGGAGGAGATGACTCTCATCTTCCCATCCGGGCCCGGACGTTCAATCCTACTGAATATTTGATAAAAGTAACGGAGAAACTCCGGCTTGTTATACAAAATGTGATAATACTGGAGTACAAATGCATTGCCCACCTGTTTTCATCAACAAATTACACTTCTAACAACATACGCACATCGGAAGAACCACTTAGAAATACAACCAGATGGGTTTGAGTTGCGTGCCGGGGAAAGAAACCCCCATTGTACGTACTATGTTCGGATATTGTCGTGAAGCAGAAGCCATAGCCTGATAGCCACCAACCTACAGAGACCAAGCAAGACCGTGATACAGCCAAAGCATTTTGTCCAAGACCAATTTTCAAAACTCGCTTCTACTTGCAGATCCCTAAAATTAACAAACAACATCCAATCGCGCAAATCATTTCCGAAGGCCCGATCGCTTTCGTAGAGAATCATTTCCTAAGATATTCACAGAAGAGACCTCTACACCAAAACCCGTATCCAAGGCTTAGACATGGCTGCTCTTTTCCTCGAGAAAAGAGTCGAAACATCGCTTTCACATTTCATCCATAGTCTTACAGAGAAAGAAACACTCCGAAACACTGCTGATCAAAGCGAGACCCATCACATAGAATGAAGCAAAATTACCGAAGAAAACTGACCTGAAAATCTTGGAGAGTAGAGAAGGCGAGTAAGAGAGAGAAGCTTCCTCCAATGTCGACTCCTAGGGTTTTGCAAGATTGCAAGACGCGCGAAAGAGGGAAAAAGGAGAGATAACAAGAAATGCTCTAGGGGTTTATAGAGAATGATGCAGAGAACATTTTAAATCTCAACCACGTGTGGAAGACAGTGCAGCCCGTTATGCCTTCTTTTAATTACAATAAATTGTTAAAATTAAAGTTTAATTAATAAGAGTATAGTAAGTTTTGTCTCGATTGATCATTATAATTTAATTTAATATCCATATCTTATGTAGTTTTGTAATTTCTACATCTTTAAATGTTTTAAGATTTTTTCTTTTGTGGTATCCTTGGAAATTTATTTCGTATCATTTTTTTTCCAAACCCGTATCCATTTGAATTATTTAAATTTATCATATCCAAACCAACCGTTTTTCAAACATGTGATGTTTCCAAAAGACAAACGAAACCAATCCCGTTTGACATCCTTTGAATTTACGTGCACATTGTTCTCTCCGTTTCAAAATAAATGTTGTTTTAGGATATTTCACAATTTTTAAGAAAAAAATAGAATAAGTCACATGTACCCATTATAAAAACAATGTTATCATTAATAATTTATTGAAATTTAATAGAAATAAAATTGAAAACTATTGTAAAAAAATGTTTTGAAAACGTAGAATGACAAATATTTTGAAATATGAAAAATAGTCTAAAACTACGAATATTTTGTAAAGGGAGTAACAATTATTTTTAAAATCTAAACCCAAATAATATTCCGAGTCAGGTTTCTTTGGAAACCAACACAAAAGAGAAAAAAAAAAACCCTACCATAATTCACATGTACCATTACGAATGGCAACTCTGAACCAACGGGAGAAAACAAAAAGACGGCGCCGGAGAAAAAAAAGGACCGGTGAACAACGGCGGCACGAACAGAATTTTCCGGTGAGATTAGTCAAAGGTTGGAAGTTACAACGGTGATATGTCTTAACGTATCGGATGAACTCGGCCGGCGAAAAAGACCGTCGGTGACACATGCACACGATTCTGATGTCTTCCCATCGGCTTCGTTACCGATGGTCCTGACGCAAGGCATCTGAGCAAACCAAAACAAACTACCGTTGACATTGCCGTTACCGTTATCACTGGCAACAAGGGATGTTAGTGTGGTTAATTATGTTTACAGTTTGTTTTGTTTCTGGTACGCACCCGTCTGATCTTTCTGATGAGATATCTTCTTCTGTCCCGTCTGTACCGATCGGTACGTTGTTAACCGGAGCTTTATATTGTTCGGTTTGCATGGGATATTGTTCCCGGTCCCAGTCGCTACTTTTACCACGTGATAAGGCTGATATCAAATTTTGCATGCTATTATTATATATATATATATAATCACAAAAATCTAAATCTTGAATCACACACAAACCAATCTCAAAATATAGTGTAAACATTAAAGGGATGAGCGTATATAAATAAAGCCAAGCCAAATACTTTGACGAAGATAACAGTTGGGATCCGAGACACGGGAATAGATAGTTTAGTATCTTTATCCTTTGTCCAGGGGTTCAAACCCTACTATGAGAATGAAATTATTATTCAGCTCAAATATTTACTGTTGATTCAGAGAATAAGTTTGAATATGCAAAATTTAAAAGATGTCGATTTATAGTTGAATGCGGTTTACAACTAAATATAAAATCTTTTTAAATTACGAAATAAATCAATGTTCTTCGTTGCGTTTGTTCCAAAGTTACTCCGCGTGGAGGGATCGAATCCCAACATCGTTTTTCCTTACCTTTGACCTGCTCGCCTGCCAGCCTGTCATAACGGGCTGATTTACATCTCACGCGTGTGTCGCAGGCTCGTACGTCGTGGGCTTGGGGTTTGACCCGCAGGCGCCTAAGCCCAACTACGGCCCGAGCGTTAGGCGCGCCTGGTGGCCAGGTCCGGCGGACTGAGGTCCATGGGGACTGTTAGGCGCGGGTGGTGGCCAGTTCGTCTCCGTTTGTAAGGGTAGGTAGTCACGGGATTCCCCAATATTATCAAAAAAAAAAAAATTACTCCGCGAATCTCGAGTTCTTAAATTTCAAGTTAATCCTGGATACACGGTCAACAAGTAATCACCGGGTCCCATAATATTTTCAGTAAATGTATGGCTGACGTGGCACAGTTTGGTAATCCACCTCAGCAAATAATCCGTTGCGGCTCTTCGTGATGGGATCGTTGACTATCTACGTGGACAAGTCAAGGTGACACGTGGCCCAGACGAAGGGGTCAGGATTTTTAAAAACAGATATTAGACCATTGTTTTGGATCGCGGACTTGGAAACATTAAGCTCCAACGTTGAGCATTTGGGCCGAATATGGGCTGGAGTATTTAATCTGTTTTACAAAAACCGAAATATACACGGGATCAAACATTTTCGCTGATTCATAGTTATTACTAACTGAAAATAAAAAGGAACGATTTTTATTTCCTTCGGCTTAATTACCCTTCTCGCCGGTCGACATCTCCGGGGAAACGGAAAGCATGGCCGCCAATTTCTGGACTTCGTCTCACTAGTAAGCTTCCTCGACATGAAATCTGAAAAACCCTTGAAGAAAGTTCATTCCTTTTCGCAATTTCGCATCAATTTTCGGATTTCTTTCTCTTTTTTTGTATGAGCAGCAAGCAGCTTCTTGGCCCAGAAGACGTCGATGTGGTTCATCCTCAGGACAAAGAGAGAGGAATTTCCCTCGAAGATTTCAAGCTCATCAAGCTCCACATGTCTAATTGTATGTTTCTTCTGCTAAAATTTTTGGGTTTTGTCCGATTCGGGGTTTCCGGGTTGCTATTTTTTTTTGCCCAGTATTTCTATTGGGGTTCTTGTTCATACGGGTATAATTAAGCAAACCCATTACATTATTATTTCTTGGTCATGTTTTGATTTTAAACAACGGAAAGTTTCACCATTTGTTTGCTTGTACTGGGATGAATTGTGAATTCTGCTGAATCTGAATGCCATACTTTACCTAGGATTCTAGTAATGCCCCAAGTTCATGTCGGTTAATGGAGTTTGCGAGCTTGTTATACTTGCAGGCTCTTTCGATTTAATCTTAGGTTTGAAATTGAAACTTGAGGTTTCAAAGAAAATATGACGAAATTGAGTTTATTTATGCCTCATTGCTGTTGCAGATATAACGAAATTGGCTCAACACATTAAAGTGAGGCAAAGGTTGGTTTTGTTATCAGGATCCAATTGCTAAAAAGAGTTTGTCTTTCTGCCTTAAATCGTCATTTTTCCCCGTTAGATAAAGATACGTCTTTTATCCACGCGGCCTGGAAATTCATAGTAATCATCCGGGTTTTCCGATCTGTGTCGATTTTATGCAGAGTTGTGGCCACTGCAATTACGTACATGAGACGGGTTTATGCCAGGTATGCCTCGGTATTTCCTCTAAGCCCCATCAAACTGGATCTCGTATTTACTAGCATCACAATATGTTTCCATCTTCGTGCTTTTCCTTTTTCCCTAAAATGTTGCATGTTAATAGATGAAAACTAGTTTTCTCCTTTAGGAAAAATATTAATGCCAATGCTTGGGATTAACACTTTGAATGACTAGCCTTTTCTCTCTCACATCGGTCTCGTCATGTTTATATTCACGTGACCTATCTCCGTGACCAGATTGTCTATGTTGCATTTCTCTACAACTTACAGAGTGTATACCAAAGCAAAGGATTGAATGTTTTTAATCTAATTTCTTTACTTAACATCTTATGCTCTCAGAAAGAGCATGGCAGAATATGAGCCCCGTCTTGTTGCTCCTACGTGCCTATACTTGGCATCTAAAGCTGAAGAAAGCGTAGTTCAAGCCAGAACTCTCGTCTTTTACATCAGAAAAATATGTAATATCCGCTACTGAATTTTGATGTTTCGACTGTCTTGAATTACCATGAAATTGTAGTTTCTGGCACATGTTTTATGCGTTATGCTGGTGAAATGTCGATAAAGGGCTGTGCTTCATCGCAGATTCTGATGATAAGTACAGATTCGAAGCAAAAGATATACTGGGAATGGAGATGAAGGTCTTGGAAGCCTTGAACTATTATCTTGTTGTGTTTCACCCTTACCGCTCATTGTCTCAGTATGTACTCATCTCTCTAAACCATCTTTTAGAGTCGCATATCACCATGAAAACTTTCGGTTCCCTGTTATGTACATATGTGTGTATTCTTTGATTAGAGACTTATGTGTCTTGGACCTTTGTACCATTCTGAGAAAGTTGTATATATCTACATTATTTTCTCTAACCGTTTAAAGAACTCATCATTATTGTTTTTTTTTTTGGAAGGTTCATGCAGAATGCTGGCATAAACGATGTAAATATGATCCAGGTGACCTGGTAAGAACGACAAACTCTTCCCAAGAAGTAAGCTTTGGGACATGGTTTAGCATCTGACGAAATCGGTTCTTGAGTTTTGAAAATGCAGGGGAATCCTTAACGACACATACAAGATGGACCTGATTCTTGTGCACTCTCCTTACCGCATTGCACTAGCCTGTATGTTCATAGCCAGTGTCTACAAAGACAGAGATATCACGGCATGGTTCGAAGATCTTCATGAAGACATGAACTCGGTACGTCTTTTTCTTTTCTTTTTCACCCATCCAAAAGCTGAAATCTCAATTCTTCGTTCCCTGAACGCGTTATTAAAGGTATCAACGCGAAAACAGGCTGCAGATTCAGCTAAAAGTCAGAGATGGGCATTAGTTTTTTTTCTCTCTATAATGTTATTTCGATCTTAGGTGTTTCTGACGATGGTTATCAACATGGGTCAGGTGAAGAACATTGCAATGGAGATTCTGGATTTCTATGAGAACCACAGGATGATCACTGATGAAAGAGTGAATGCTGCTTTCAGCAAATTGGCTCAGAAACCTTAAGAGCTTTATTACATCATTTTCCCCCCATCTTCCAAAGTTCTTGTGTAGCTCAAGTCCCCATTTTAGTCTTCCTTTTGTTTTTCACTGAACCAGTGAATGAATTTAGTTTTATTGAATTTGGTAAAAAGGGAAGAAATTGAAAATCCTCTTCTCATCAAATCTCGCCCATCAACTGCTATTGTTAATTATATTTAGTCAACATGGATAATTGTGATCCCAAGTGGTATTCATCATCTGTATATCAACATTATAGTTGGAAATATATTCGGTGTACTAAGTTTTGGACTGTTCGGGTTTTCATCAATAAAGTTTGGGGTGCTTTTTCCAATTTAGAAAAGTTGGGGATCTATTTGGGAGTAGTAGAAATTGAGGACGTCTTTTGTAGAAATATGAAAGAGTTGGGGGCACTTTTTGGATTTTCGTAAATGATTTTGAAAAAATTGGTTCTGATAATTTGTCGGAACGAATTAAAAGGAAAGACCATCGCGTTTTGAAGTTCCTCAAGGGAACAAAGGAAGCAAAAGCAATGGCTTCCGATTTCTGGACTTCATCGCAGTAGTGAGTTTTTTTTTTCTAGTCTAATAACAGATCTTCATGACGAAAACGATCCTTTGGCTATCATTTTTGTTTAAATCTGGTTAATTTTTTTCTGGGTTTTGATGAACAGCAAACAGCTTATGGACCCAGAAGAGGTTGATGTTATTCATCCTCTGGATAGAGAGAGAGGAATCACCGTCGAAGATTTCAAGCTGATTAAGCTTCACATGTCCAATTGTGCGTATGATTTGATTTGATTTGAAGCTTATTTTTTTTTTCCTGGGGTTTGTTGATTTCCTGATTTTCCATGAATCGGTCTTTTTGGGATTCTTCTAATTCTTGTTCTACATTGGATTTTTTCAACTGGGTCTAAGCTTTGTCCACTCGAGTGCTGCATTGCCTTTCGACTTCCTCATAAAGCTTGCGAATTTCATACGTAGTGGTGTAGCTCCGTTTGTGTTCTTTGATCGAGTTGTAATCTGTACGGAACATGAATGGGATATTATGATTCAGTTTCTCGTAATAGTTCCAATCTTTTGCTAGTACAGTTGGTTTCGATTCACTGCATTGATCGTCGAGATTTAAAGGATGTTCTTGTTGGTTCCAGATATAGCGAAATTGGCGCAACACATCAAGATCAGACAAAGGTAAGTTCTTTTCCTCAGGACCTGTTGGAATGGAGATCTTTCGATGGTATGGCTTTGTTGATCTGATATTAACGTGGATTCATTTTGGGAAATTTGGTTTCTGCTTCATTTGGATTCACCAATGCTGAATTTTGACAATTGATCTTTCACGTGCTCGCTTTGTTTTTTGTGGATGTGGCAGAGTTGTAGCTACTGCTATAACATACATGAGACGCGTCTACACAAGGTATGCAATGGAGACTGTTTTTTTTTTACTTGGTAGGAAAATGATACTAAGCGTGAATCTTCTGTCTCTAATATCGGTTTCTGGATATCATCTTCTCAGGAAGAGCCTGACAGAATATGAGCCTCGTCTTGTTGCACCCACATGCTTGTACTTAGCGTCTAAAGCCGAGGAGACCGTTGTCCATGCCAAACTTCTTGTATTCTACATAAGAAAATTATGTAATCTTTTGCTTTGACTACGTTCTTGATCCCGTTTTTCTTTAAATTTCTCAATCTTTTGTCGTTTGAACTGTGTTTCTGTGTAGAAATGCTGATGACTTGGTAATTCGATCTGCAGATGCTGATGATAAGTACAGGTATGAGATTAAAGATATATTAGAAATGGAGATGAAAATACTGGAGGCATTGAACTTCTACTTGATTGTATTCCACCCTTATCGATCTCTGCCTCAGTAAGTCTTTTCTATGTTACATTCTCTATTTAGCTATCATCATCACTGGTGGGATCTTCCCTAATGTCTCCCTACAATCTCATTATGTGCGTCAGTAGCGAGTTGTCAGTCCAAATTTTGAAATCATTAGATACGTCCTTCAGTTAATACCCATTTCATTTCTTGCACCGTTTACACCTGTTCAAGTCTTGTCTTAAACCCACTTTCTCTCTGAATCATTCGGTAATCAAGACTGTCACAAAATGTGGTTTGTTCAATGCTTTTATTCCTGCTTTCCTGGACTTGCAGGTTCTTGCAAGATGCGGGAATCAACGACACTAGTATGACCCATTTATCTTGGCAAGTGTTCCATAACTTTACAATCACATTGGAGAAATTGATTCTGCCCTGGATAATGTTTCACACTTAACAACTCATTTTAAGCTGTGTGATGAAGATGGAGTTTATGCTCAAACTCACACTAGATCCTCTTAAAACCGGCTACTGGATTGCAATATAAGATAATCAGTAACACAACTTGCGACTCTGCTTTGAAGTTTTTTCTTTAATAGTGATCAGATGGTGGTTATTTAGTCGGTTTAAACGAAACATATGAGTTGCACTAAAAGGTGTTTTTCTGTGAACAACAGGGGACTCGTGAACGATACGTATAGGATGGACCTCATCCTTATACATCCACCGTACTTAATTGCCCTGGCTTGCGTTTACGTTGCTTCTGTATACAAAGAGAAAGACCTAAGGTCATGGTTTGAAGAGCTTTGCGTAGACATTAACTTGGTAAGTAAGTTTATGATCGTGTTCGCTAAATTCTTCCTCTGGATTTTTATTTACTACATTGATCTTAAACTTGCATCGCCCTTGTCTTTGATCGAATGAAAATGCTCTTGAGGAGAGAGAAGAAAGAATCGAAAAGCAAGAAAGAGAGACCTTTTAGTGGTTTAGGCGAAAGAAAAGCACCATAGGCTTCTCCTCTTCTATTGCATAGGCTTGTTCATGTCTTGTGCTGCTGCCAGGACTTGGAGGAAAAAAAATCGAAACCGAACCTTGACCCTTTTGTAGACCAAAAAAGCCGAGTATGGAAATGTTACGGGATCAAGATTATAGAGACGGATATATTGCGGCGATCTAATAAGGCTGTTCTAACCATTGGCAGGTGAAGAACATCGCGATGGAGATACTAGATTTCTACGAAAACCACAGAACGATCACGGAAGAGAGGGTCCATGCTGCATTCAGCAAACTCACGACAAAACCCTAGAGATTTGCTGGTTGGTAAATTCGAAATCAGTTCCCAGTCAAATGTCTTCATGCAAGAATGATCGGCGACCGTCTGAAAAAAAAACTCAGGTGAGAACAGAAACTCCTCAACTCTGCTCTGTTTTGTCTCTTTTGGGAAGATGTATTTGCAATAAATTACAGTTTTTTTTTCTTCCTGTTTATTGTAAATTAGTGTTTTTTTTTTGTTGGCGCCGAACAAGTTGGAAAATTTTGTCTTAACCAAGACTGTCGTTTTAAAACGAAGTCAGGATTCCCTCTAAACCATACCGCGGTTTCATTACAACCTTATCTTTGCATAGGTACATAATCGAATATTGAATCAGAGAGATACCATTTAGATAGTTGGATATATAAATTCACAAATTAGATTCAAATTGAATAGTAATTAGTGGGTATCATTTTTTATAGTCAGACAAGGGGCATCTTAGTTGCAATTCACAAATAGTTTCATGTACGGTCGGCACGTATAATACCAAGAGTAAAAAGAAAGGGCGTCTTAATTGGGACATAGACGATGTCCAAGATCCGTGCTTTTTTCAATGAAAGACTGTAAATTTGTGGCCATGTTGCGTGACTCTCTCGGGGTGAAAAATAAAACATATTATTACCCAAAAGGATAAAAAAAAGAAAAAGAAAAGGGCACTGAATATCTACACACACACATATATATATATAAGAATGTTGTCGTCAGGAAGATTTATTCTCAGGTGCAATTTTACATAAGAAGCAAACAGGAGAGAGAGAGTCCCATGAGTTAGGGTTGGGTGGTAATTTATCAGAAAGAGACAACGGAAGGGTCTTCGCCGCCTTGGCTTTTCTAAGTATTTTGCCCATTCAAAGGATTCTTTTTTTTTTTTTTTTCTTATGGGTACTGAGGAAATTTTGGAACTTTTTTTTTTTGGGTTTTGTAATTTTATGAATAAACGCACTCCGCTGATCAACGGCAACCCTTCACTCATTCCCCCCGCCTTGTCTTCCTTCGTACTATTATCCCTCAACTTCTGGGAACTGGATTTTCCGGGAAAATTATAACCGAAAGGAGAGAACTTTGATTCGGGTTTCGATTCTCTTCTCCTGGGAAGATTCAGTGTGGTTATAATTTTAGTGGGCTTTGCTCCCTTTGCTTCTGGGTTAGCTTTTAGCTCGGAAGTCTTCGAATTTCCTCATCCAATTATTTTTCGGCTAAGAAAATTTGCCCATCTTGTTTTCCCTGAGCTGATTTGGTCCTTCTCATTACAAATCGATAAACGTTGGTGTCTGTTCTCGATCTGGGTTCAGATTCAGCGATTTTCCTGTCGGTTTCTTTCCCCGGGATTCGTCTCTTGTATTGAATCCGAGGAGCTTTGATTGGAGACCTGCTGTTTGTGATTCGCTTGCTGATTGTGTGATTTGTATTCGTTGTCCATCGGATCCGGTGGTAGCTTTGTCAATGGGCGCTTTAGATGAAGGGCATTTCAATCTGGAGCTGGAGAATGATGGGAAGAATGGATCCATGGAGGTTGCTTTCGAGCACCAACCAGAGACCTTATCGATTCAAGAAGCAGTGAGAGTTCTCTTGCAAGGATTGGGTGAAGATATCAACAGGGAAGGCATTAAAAAGACCCCTTTTCGTGTTGCCAAAGCGCTTCGAGAAGGAACCAGAGGTATAATTGGATTCCCTCCTTGTGAATCTGATTGTGTTGTTAAGGTTGTCTGGAGGGGAACAGATTAGAACAGAGTATGTATCTGTGGCTGAATTATTGATAGGTCTCTTACTGGTAGTTCCATTGATGAATCTCAGTTGAGCTTGTTCAGCGACTTGCTTTGCATTTATGAATGATGACTGTTTCTTTATAATTCGATTTTCTTCAGCACCTATATAAGAAAGCACAGATCTTCTTTCATTTGGAAATAGATTCTTGGCACCCGGTTTCACATTTTTGCTGATGGATCATTGTTCTTACGATGCAGGTTACAAATTAAAGGTGAAAGACTTTGTACAGAGTGCTCTGTTTCCTGAAGCAGGGTTGGATGAAGGAGTTGGGCAAGCAGGTGGAGTGGGGGGTCTTGTTGTTGTCCGAGACCTCGACCACTACTCTTATTGTGAATCTTGCTTGCTTCCTTTCCAAGTCAGGTGTCACGTAGGTTATGTTCCTTCTGGCCAACGGGTTCTTGGACTGAGCAAGTTCTCTAGGGTTGCTGATGTTTTCGCTAAGCGGCTTCAAGATCCACAGCATCTGGCTGATGATATATGTTCGGCTCTTCAACAGTGGGTCAAACCATCCGGAGTTGCTGTTGTTCTCCAATGTTCTCACATCCACTTCCCGAGTTTGGAAATGAACTTTCTCGCCTCTAGCCACCATGGTTTTGTGAAGTTATTGGTTTCCTCGGGTTCTGGAGCCTTTGAGGATGAAAGGTCTGATCTTTGGGGTGAATTCTTGTCTCTTTTGAGGTTCAAAGGGGTCAAAACTCATAACTTGTGTAGAAACGGTTCTGTAAAAGAATGGTGCCCGAGTGTTAAAAGCTCCTCCAAATTCTCACCCGCCGACCCAGAAATGGTTTCTGCTGTCAATTCTATTCTGAAATCGTTGGGCGAGGATCCATCAAGGAAAGAACTCGTAGGAACGCCCACTCGTTTCTTGAAATGGATGATGAACTTCCAGAACGCCAACCTTGAGATGAAGCTGGGTGGCTTCGGATATGACAAAACCGATACCAAATCCAATGGCGAGATCGAGGAGACACTTCACTGCGAACGGAATCTACCCTTCTGGTCAATGTGTGAGCATCATTTGCTTCCATTTTATGGAGTTGTTCACATTGGTTACTTCTGCTCTGATGGTTACAACCCCATGGGGAAATCACTTGTACAGTCAGTAGTACATTTTTTCGGGTTCAAACTTCAAGTTCAAGAGAGGATGACCCGGCAAATCGCTGAGACATTATCGCCACTAGTTGGAGGGGATATAATAGTGGTGGCGGAAGCAGGGCATACTTGTATGATCTCTAGGGGGATCGAGAAATTTGGAAGCAGCACAGCTACAATTGCAGTTCTTGGTCGGTTTTCCACTGACATCTCTGCAAGAACTAAGTTTCTTGACAGCATCCAGAATTCTTCCTGATAGCCAGAGGACGTTTTCTGAATCCAGTTTCGGGTTTTGCCCCCCCCCCCATTCCGCTAAACATGAACATGAACAGGGTTCTGATGTGGAATCTGGCAAAGAATCAAAAGGATTGGAAGACAAGACAACAGGGCTCTGTTGTATGTTGTGTTTTTATGATTCTCTGATTGTTTCTATCCCTGACAGCACTTTGAAGGGATGTCCTGAGCTTTTTCCCAGAAATCAATCAATCGTTCTTGTTTTGATTTTGTTTTGTTTTGTTTTTTTTTGGCATTTGATTGATCCGACAACATGGAAACAAAATTCTGTTTCGCTAATTTTAAGTGTCTTTTATACGTCAAATCGATCACACTCGCTCACAAGCAACAATAATTGAAACTTCCATCATCATTTTTCGGTTGTGGTTGGTGCTCCAATAACATAGGAGCAAAGTTCTTATGATTTTGTAGTAATTTAATCAATTATTCCACAATGGTCACCAAAAAGGCTATAAAGTTTTGTTCCCCACAAATGTAAATAGAGATGTACTCTACAGCGGTCACAGAGCTAGGAGGGTGTAGATTTAGGCAAGGACAGTAAAAGAAACCCCTATGAAGACAAGGCCGTGGGTTCTGTTTCTCTATCCTCTTTAATTTACAACTTATGCAAATTCATCCACTGACACAGAATCAAAATTTGCGTGCAGAACAAATATCCACACATATCCTTCTGACAAACCTCGCTTTTTCCTGTAAGAAACTGATCAGTGATCAAGAATCACCCTTCAAAAGATCTCTGAGTTTCAGATACTACCTAAGCATTCCTCATTTGACTCTTCATCAGAGTCCTCTCTCTCTATCTTCCCATGAATCCCAGTAAGAGTTATAGCTGTGAAATGGCCCTGAAACCAGATCCCCACAATCTTCAATCCTAGATAATCACTTCAGGACCCATGATTTGGAAACCGGTCAGGCTACCGATGCAGCATGCCTCATCTGGTTGCTCAATCAGCCTTCCAGACAAAAACCACCTCGCTACACGTGCGTTGGAGGTTCTTCCTCATCAGTTGCGGCAAATGAATACGAGAATATGCAGTCAACTAGAATGGAACAACATATGGAAGTGCTGCAATGTCAGCAGATTCTATTCTAAAAGCTTGGTCCCAAACTTCCCGTGTCTCATCTGTTCTTGGCTTCTTTGACTTCACTGTGGAGTCATCAAAGAGCCATTCTTGATCGTCAAACCGAGGCAGCTCCTCCCTTTCGGGTATACCAAGTATCTGATTCAGATACTTCAGGTCAGGATGCGGCAGTGTCACCGATGCTTCACCATTTTCTTTGACTTGCACTTTCACTGGTGCAGCCAAAGAATTCAGTGGAACAGCTTTGAGCTCTCGAGAACCGACGAAACCATTAACTCTGTGATCCTTCACGTCTGGCCTGCAACTTGTTCCTTGCTGCTCCGACGCAGATTTTGGAGGAGTTTTGGTTTCCACAGATTGCAGCTCAGTTCGGGTTGGTCCCAACTTTCTTCCATTTCCCACACCTGATGATATAGGAGAAGCAGCCGGCCTCTGTAACTTGTTTGGTCTGTTGAATCCATTCTCTGGATAAGAATTAAAACGCTAGGGTTAATACAAGCTTTAAACGAGAGAGAGAGAGAGAGTATATCAGTACCTATATATGCATACACATCTTTAGACACATGTCAGGCAGGAAAAAAGTCAACATTAACAATTAGATCTTCATCAATATTCTAAACGAAAAGTACCCTACTCATAATCCAATAAATTAAATAACGTAAAGAGACATACCATGATTGGACAACAAGATAAGGTGGGTTTTAAGTACCAAACCATCTATGATACACTGTACGGTTGTGTATTACCATAATGCAAACACCTATGCATATGTCCCCATTAACCAGACAGAAAGAATTGGTACAGGGAAGGGACTGACCATGCAAGAATCCATTTCTCTCAAGATCTTTTCGTTTGCCAAGATTTCCCTCACTAGTAAGGTTCTTGTTGCTTGCCTTTGAAAGGTCAGGCGGTTTACTATTCCTAGTATCCAGGGAGTCTTTATCTCTCTCTTTCAATCTGGGTCCTCCCTCTACAAATTTTGTTTTCTCTTGATCAACTTGGTTTACCACCTCGGCTTCCTCTTCCTTCTTCTCTTTGTTTCGGTCTTTATCCCTGGGTTCACTTTTGTTCAACCCTTCTCTATCTCTTGGTTTGTCACTCTTAACCGCACTTTCCTTGCGTTTATTCTTCTCCGGCGTTTCCTTTTGCTTCTCCTGGTCTTTTCTCTCCGTTGGTTTACACATAGCCTCTGTTATTTTCCGACTTGAGCCAAATGACACTTGTGCGGCAACATTTTCAGCACTTTTTGCCACAGCAAAGTTTCTTTGGGGATTGATTCTCTTTTCAGCATCTCTCCTAAGGTTGGTTTCTTGAACTGGGTAGAAACTCTTGTTCTGAACTGTTCTTCCTGTTAATCCGACATTTCTTCTATCAGAGGTTATAGTCTTTTGCTCACTTTGACTTCCCGTTGCTGCTTCTCCATCTCTGATTCTTGTTGCCAAGTCCTGTACAAACCTAGAATCTCCATTGTTACTCTTCTGCAAGGTATTTGTTACAAGCTTCACTGTATCCCTTGTGTCAGGCAGAACCTCGACCTTCTTCTCCTCCGAAGTTCTGCTTTTTTCTTTATCCCTATCTTTGTCCTTCCTTTCGTCATGTTTCTCCTTTTTCTCCTTCTTTTCCTTATGTTTGTCTTTGCTTCTTTCTTTATGCTTCTTCTCTTTACCCTCTTTCTTTTCTCTATCCTTCTTGCTCTTCTTGTGCTTCTCCTGCAGGTAACATCCCGGAAAGAAACGGATACACATAAGGTGAAGAACACAATTAAACTGCAGAACCCTTTCATTTCGACTTCACGAGGCTGGAATAAATATATGCAACCTAAAACAGGATCTGAATGGGAAATTATCCAAACAACAGAGGACAGGAAAAAAAAAAAAGTCAACAGAAAATTTCCCTCTTCAGAGAACTTCATGTTACTAAGCAATCTAGTAATCCCTTTCCTTTTCGCATTTGCAAGCAATACAAATAGAAGAATAGCTTTCACACTAATGTGTTCACACATAGCCAATGAGACCAAGATTCATTGTGTTGTAACTTGTAATAGATAGGAGGAATAAGACACCCAAGATGAGACATGCATCTCAGACACAGAATCACCTTGACAGATCTTTATTGGGTAAACAATGTCATAAGGTCATAGCATAAAGACAAGTTGGGGAAAAAAACAATCTTTGAAGACGTGTTGGTGAATTCAACAATGAGTTCCTTAAAACTAATCTCATGGTGCTCAGTACTCTAGTCACCCTGAAAGAAAATGAAGCAACTTTAAACACAACTCCCAATAGTATGGCCTTAGAAACACTGCAAAGATCATGATTCAGAGCATAGTAAATGCTAAGAGTTGACATTGTGAACCTTTGTTAGAAGGGCTGCCTCATCGGTTTTAATCTTCTTCTCATATCCCGGAGGTGGAAACGGGAAGCAACGAGACATGGCACTCTTCTCTTGGGAACTGTAAAGTGGTATACTTTCACCACCGGTTCAACAACTCTCCTACTTTGAACTCTCTTGTTCCTTTAACCCAACTCCTGACCACATCAGAATCTATGATCCAATCCACCATATCCAAATCACTTACAGCAGGGAAATTAACTTTGATCTTCTCCAAACAACGAATTCTCAGTGCCCGGATCCTAAATACTCTTACACAAGCATTTTGCAACTTGGAACCTGGAAGCAGGGTCAAACTCTAATGAACAAAGGGTTTGAGGTAATATAACCTGCCAAGCCAATAGCAGAAACCAGATATCATAACTATTTTTCCTCAGACCATAAGCATCCAGAACTCACATTAACAAAATTTTGGGGGAAAGATTCATATCAACATCTCAAAGCACCTTGTCTGATCAAAAGGTACAAACTACACAGCCGCCGGAATCCGGAGGTCTTATTCTGATCGAATGTGAAGATATCTTATTGATTCCGGAACTACTGGCTTGCCAATCAACAATAACACTGAATCTTGCTCCGCGGCAATTCAATCCCAAACTCTCTATTTACAGTCCGTAATACCCAAGAGGTAGCCCTAATAGTACAAAAAACCGCAATTAGGGTCGAGTCCAGGGACCATCCAATGAAACCCTAAAAATCAATTAAAAAGGAAACTGTCAAGCAAAATCACCGGCTCCAGGAAATTTGCGAGGAACATAAACTGGGTAACCATTAACCAATTGTGCACGCAAGGGGAAGTTACAAGATCGAATTTTTCCGAAAACCCAGATGGCAAAAAACGCAATCAGTTGAGAGTATCAGCGGATCAAATTTGAAAACTTTCCGGGGAAAAAACAAGAAAATTCACTCTAGAATTTAGATTTTCAGCTGGAAAGCAACATAAACCAATGGTTTTTGTTGAAATAAGCTTCGGTTAATAGAAAATCACATCTCGGAAGGAAACCGATTCGAAGATCTCAAGAGGGAGGAGAGAGAGAGAGAGAGAGAGAGAGAGGGAGAGAGAGAGAGGAAATGAATCGAACAATGAGAAATCTCTCTCCCCCTCCCTCTCTCCATCTCCATGTGTTGGCATATAGGTGTGTATACCTTCTCTGTATATATATCTGAAAAGTTCTGTGATTTTTTTGTTTCAAATTTTCGGGTTTTTTTTTTGTTGGGTTGGTTCTTGATGACCAGAAGAAACTCTCCCTCTCTCTCCCTCAAAACCCCAGCAAGAAAAGAGAGAGATTGAGCAGACAGGAGCAAAAGGGTATTTATAAAGGGAGAGAGAGACATGTGTTCTGTAGATAATTATGTTTCAGATTGTCCCTGGGCTTTACTTCAATGACATTTTGGTACTTTTAACACTGAATCACATTTGGCTTCTCATACAGAATTTCGACAATGCATTGCTCAATCCCTACCAAACTTCATGTTGCACGTAATTCAAACGCAGGTGGATCTGACATTTGTAATGGGTTTTGTAATCAACTGCCAAAAATGCAAACTTTCCATTTATAGATATTGTACTTTTCATTAGCAGAAGATTCTAGATCCAACAAAAGGCTGAGGAATTCAGAAGATGGGTTGACCAAGTCAAGCTCACTGCAATCACCAGCTTCATCCTTCTTTCAAACTCCATAGATCAGTTTCTTGTTAGTGTAACGCACCGTATATAAAAGCTCTAGTTTCGTATAAGCATACAGACATCATGAATTTCCTACAAAACAATCTCAGGCATACTCTTGTAATGTAACTGTTTTGGTTTGTCACTTTTTTCCCCCCATAATTGTGTCATGAATCTCTATAAAAGATGAGTATGATAGCATCGTCGGTGACTTGCACTCCAAGTAAACTTCAAACGTATCTCACATCGTTACTAAACAGTTCATAGACCCAAACTTAGATTCCAATGCCTCTCATCTGTCATTTCAACAGTTACAGTAAATAAACCTCAGGATCCCAAAAAAGAAAAAAACAGCGATAGTAAATGCCCGCTCTTCTGATTCAAGACCCTGAGAGCAACAGTTTTTGCCTATATATATATATATATATATATTGGGTGATCCCTTCATTCCAGAGCCTCAGTGCATCATCTGAGAATGAAAAAATGGGATGTTACCTGATCCTGAAGGAACCAAGCTCTATGTGCAATTCCCTAAATCAGATATTCAGCTACACCACCAGATCATCAGCAGAGTAGTAATCGGCGATGAGGCGGTACATGTACCACGGGTTATGCCCTCCCCTGTACATACCCATAACACACACAAAAAAACTGCATCATTAGCTTCTTTTTTTCGTTCCTTGCTAGGATCTCATCATGTATGTACTCGGATGCTTGCTTCTTTGATGGAAACAAGGTAAGTCCGAGTGTAATAAGAAGAAACAGGAAAGTAAACTCACGTGTCGGTTATGAACAGGCTCACAAGCTTGGGAGGTACATAGTCGAACGTTGGGTTCACAACATGAAGAAGGGTTGAACAGTCAGAGAATTCACCAAAGTCTAACAACTCGGAAGGGGATCTTAGCTCGTTTAGTAACACCTCTGGATTGTGAGGGTACAGAGGGCATAGCTGATTGCATTTAAAACCCGACACAAGACAGAGACCGTCAGAAAAGAAATCATTGGGCGAAAGTTACATCTGGAAGTGTACACGAGAAAAGTTACCTTGTGACACCCAGCGAGAACGACAAAGGGGATTGCGTGCTTTTGAGCTGCAAGTGCGACCATGTTTACTCCAACAGGTGCAATAACCCCACCATTAGCCATTACAGCATGAGCTCCGATTATAACCTTCCAATTTCGTAGAATCACAAAAAAGGATGTTGAAACTCCAGGACCAAGGCTTACTGTTTTTACTCTCAACATGCAAAAGGGTCAAGACTAGTACACACCATATTTACTCGCGATATCATGGCAAAGACTGCAGAGTCAGGGATCAATGTGGTCTGCAAACCTCGAGCTATCAACTCTTTTGCTAAAAGATGCCCCTGATACCTGATTGAAATAACAACGAACAAGAGATGGAACGACAGTTAAATGGATGTTCAAAAAGAGAAGAGGTGGCATTGGACTAGTGAAGGGTGCAACAAGGAGGATAACACTAACCATGGTGAAGAAGGATGAAAATATATATAGGAAAGGAAAACACCAACCTTGGAGCACCTTCAGCTACAAATACTCGGAATGACCTCTTCTTCTCCTTCGCAGCACAAAGAAATTCCAGTACTGTTCTTGAACTACCTAAGGTTAAAATCACCTCACTGACAAAAGAAAATATAGGGGACAAAATGAAAATCACCTTCTAGCTATAGTAAAACAGGCATTGATAAACTAGACAGCGGTGAATCTATTGCATGTTAAGGAAAATCAATGGGATAGATGAAAAGAGTACTTTTGATGTATATGCTCTACAGCTTGCTCAGCGATCTGCTCATGACAAGTGGCGATTTCAGAAATAAGTTGATTGACTGTTTCTATAACATCATGCTTCAGCTTCCGGGTACTTGAACTTTTATCAGCAGCTACAAGAGAGTATATAAACAGTGAACATAAGAAAAACAGAACACATGTTGGAACTCAGACATCAAGGTGGCTACAATCAGCGATGTCAAACTTAGAGTCCATTTACATCAGGCACATGAATACATGTTAATGATTTAACCAAGGAGCTATCATATTATTGAAACTCTTCCACCAAATGATGAACCGCCCAAAACCTAACGGAATTTAAAAGCAAAAGCTTCAAATTTCTACTGAGAAAACCGAACTTGAAGACCGGAGCAAGGACAAGAAGATGGTACATTTACTTTTCCCTTCAGAATCACCAGTAGATGAAGACGTGTATGGGACAGTGGCAGAGTCAGGGGTGCCTTCGAGAAGTGTTTGTAAGGACGGTGGGCGCAATGTGCTCCTAGCTGCAGCTGCAACAACTGCAGCTGACATAGCGGGATGGCTGCTTCTTTTGCAATCATCTTCATCATCACTCACATCCAATAAATCCAATCCAGCCATAACAGCAGTAGTGAGAGAAAGATCCTCCTCTCGGATAATATGCAAAACCCGTCTAACGACATTGCCCACCGCAAGCTCTACAACCAGAATGAAAGGGATTATCAAATCGCTTTACAAAGACAAGACAGTAGCATTCCCCACCAACAAGACTAAACCCAAAGTCATATCAAACGAGATATCCCTTCACTGATAGTTGAATTCCACCTATGAAATGCCATACGCAAATTGAAAAAGAACAAGAAAGAAAGATAATTCAGAACATACCAACAGGATTTGCAGCAATCAATTGCTCACCAACAGCCTTCACCGCATCAATAAGGGCTCCAGCCTGGTTTGTGTGAGGCACACGCTGCTGTGAAATCACCGACCTCAGAAGTTCTGCGGTTTGCCTGGCTGTCGCCTGAGAACCCTCTATCTTACTGTAACAAATGACAGACAAGCATATAGCTTAACATCTTTTTCTCAAGCAAAACTAGAAGAAGGCCAAAAACCAACCGTTTCTTGAGCATGTTAAGAAACTCCCCAACCATAGATTGAATATCCGGCATCTTCCTCCTCAAATTTCACCTGAAAACAGGATAATTAGTTAGTCTAAAATAAGTTCTAGCAATCTTTCCAGGGGAAAAACAATGATTCAGAGTGGGCCATTCTATGTTTCTAGTCGGTTCAGCCAAAAACTTGTCTGATTTAATCTCGAATTTAAGTTCTTAATCAGACCAAACACTTCTTCGTGTTCCAAGGTTCATACTTTAAAAACCAGTACATCTCCCCCTATATCTGCCTAACCACCCAACACAAACACATTGATATTAGCAATCTAGCGTCGGTTCTGAGCTCAAAAAAAAAGAAACCAGTAATGACAGTAGCCATGGCTGTAGAGAAAACACTAATGCGCTCTCAAATCCAAAGAAAAACATCAGAAACAGATAGAGGAGGTCCCGACGAATCGGAACAGTTAATGTCGAAACCTGAGGCGGTTTCGCATTAGATTTCGTGATTCCTGTAGGGATCTTGGCTTGAGAATGGCCGGCAAATTCGAACTCTTTGCTAATTGCATTAGTTAGACAATAATCACACTTCCCTAAAACAAAATTTTCGGAATTGAAACAAAGCAAAAGGGACAAATTCACAGAGCACGTCGGTATTCCAAATGGAAAAGCCATTCTTTTCTCGCCGTTCAAACAGCATCAGAACCCGTACCCAGAATCTCGTAAATTGACGGCTTTTTGTGGGGATTATACGGAAGAAATATGCTCTGAAAAAGAAATTGGATAAACGAATTCAGACAGCTGAAAGCACACTTAAACCCTAGATGACGTTATGGGTAAGAATTTACAATGGAGAACCGTCAAACGATTCTAGCATTTGACCGAGATGAAACAATGGAAGATGAACTAACCCGAGGAGACGAATCACAAAATCAGGCGAGCGAGAGAGGGACAGAGAAGAACTTGTTTGGTGAAGTAATGCTTCGAGCGAAGGGCTGTTTTTTTCCTCCTGTTTTCTCCACTTTTTTTTTTTTTTTTTTTCATCAATCAGGTTATTTTCCCAGATATTCAAATTATTATTATTATTTTCATTCTCAAGCAAATTGGCAAAATTATCTCTTGCGTTCATATTTCACTGAAAATTTTTAATATTCTAACTTATTTTCAGGAATTGTACTATTTTCCAGCATTTATACAATTGGAAATAATTTCAAACTCAAAATAACATTAAAAAAGTAAAAAAAAAATTGTATGTATTTATATCACCACTATTAAATAATACTATTTGTTTTTTCAACTTTTAAATGTTCACACAAAATATAAATATACTAAAATTTCCCCTTGACGAGTCCTATCTATGAGCATTAAAATATGTTCACATGTACATATGCATTGACATAGGATAGATAACAAAAGGCATGAGCCGAAAAGAAAATAAAAGGAAAAAAAACAGTGTTTCTCTATACATCATTATATGAGCAAATACTCTTTGCCCTTATATAAATATAATATATATATATATATATATATATATTATATTTATATATATATATATAATTGAATAGCTGTACACTAAAAAATTAAAACCCAAACTTCTATACATTGTATATACACACCAAAAGAAAAAGTTTGAAGCTTTTTTCAGAAACTAGATCAAATGCTGCTACTTTCTTCTTCCTCAGCATTGTCATTCTCCCTGAGCTTAAAGACACCGTCAACATACTCCTCGGCGTCCCATAGAAACGTGCCAAAAGCTACAGCCTCAAGAACAAGCCTCTTCAAGCTCGAGAACGATGTGACAATGGTCTCATCGTCGCCCTTCTCCTGTCCCAATAGGGCAAGGCTCTGATTCTCTATCAAGTTCCTGCCTTCCTCAGATCTCGGTTTCGCACATCTCTGAAATGTCTCGGGATCAAACCTGGATATGTATTGTCTAAGTTGCTTCAGCTCCAGCTGGTTGAATGTTTGCACGGCGCTTGCTGGGAAAGAACAGCTAAAGACGGGGCCTTTCGAGTATTGGACAGGTGGTCTTTGCTGGTTTATATGGAGGTTTGATAAGGAGGATTCGAGTTGGTGCCTGAGGGAAGCAGATTTCAAGAAGTAGCCGTACAGGATTGAAGCAGAGTATGCTCTCTGGAGATGGAGTTTCTGAATCTGGGTTGTAGCCCAACTGTCTGTTACGCTTGAATTTACCCGTAAGCCGATGACTGCACTGACGTGTTCCTTGATAAGTTCTAGGGAATCAAAGCCGTGAACTGACTCTAGTTCCCAGTCTTTTGAAGGCCAGATCTCTAGTCTTCCGTTGTAGATGCATCTGGAGAGCTTTGGAACGAGGGGAACTCTGATCTCGGAGAATTTGTAGAAGATAAGCATGTACATGATGTCTTGGACCGCGATTTGGGAGTAATGCTCCTTGAGTTGAGCTATCCTCCTGGCAATCATGGAGGAAAATCACGCAAGTAGAGATCCTAGTTAAAGATACGTCTGGTTAGAAGAAGCTGGCATGTTGTTAAAGAACAAAATGGTTCCAAAAACAAAGGTTTTAGAACAGCTAACAGACAAAGATGACAACAGTAAACAACATTCACACAACAAGATTTGGCCAAGTTTGTTGCTCATTGATAGTGAGAATCTCTCCCAAAAAACAAAAAAAGAGTGACCTAAGAGCAACACCAAGAACCAGTTGCAGCGGCAGACAGAAAAGCAACTAACACTAGTGATTGACAGAAGCAGGGGTGAAGAAACTGTCATCAATGATCAAACAGAGAATCCCAAATAGAATTACCAATTCAGATAACCATTGATGCCTCTAAGTAGTAGTCTTTCTGATTCAACAAGATTCAACCAGAAACTCAAATACGCATCTGTGTGCGTATGTATGTCTCTCTGCGTCTATACATACAAGGGAAGGTTCACGAACCTGTGGAGACAAGCCTCGTCGGAGCCGGAGCTGAGGATCATACGAGAGACGGCGGATTCTCGATCGTCGGCGAGCTGCTTGAGCTCATCGGCGGCGGCAAAGTGAAAAAGCTGCGGCTTGTTCTGCAACACGCTGCTCAGGAACTTCCCCTGCACCGACCTCAGCTCCAACGGCAAGTTCAGGCTGCTCCCCGGCTCGCACCGACTCGCACCCGCCGCCGCGACCACCGCCAAAGAACGCGACCGCCGCGACGGGAGAACGCTAACGCTAACACCGACGCCGACGCCGACGCCGGTCCGTCCCCCAGAGAAGCTGATACCTCCGGGATCGCGGCGCGACGGGAGAAGAGGGAGAGATCCCAGGTGAGAGAGACAGCTGTCCATGAACTCAGGAAGAAAACCCAGAAGCAAAAACCCTAAATTTCTACCGTGGAATGAATCGGGATTCCGACGAGATTCACAGAGAGAGAGAGAGAGAGAGAGAGAGAGATTAGTGGGATTGGATAAGGCAAGGACTGATTGAGTATCTTTTTCCTTTCAATTTCACTTTTTTGTCTCGTGGTTATGATTGCTACCGATAACCAATCGACAACATGACAAGTGCAGAGGCGATCGATGTATACGTGTGTATATATAGATTTTTATTGAAGATAATCCTATACCTTCTGTGATTATGATCGACCCTCTTATCCAGATATCAAAATCTTTGAGAAATCATGGATCCTAAGTAAATTTAAAAGAATTTATATGATAGTAGAGTTTATATGTTATTATAACTTCTATTTGATTTTTATTGTTTTATCATTTTTAAAATTTCAGATATATTATATATTTATTAGAATATATATATATATATAACAAAAAAATACAAAGACTTTAATTATTTTACAATTCCATAAACTTTTATAAAGTATTATTTATAAATTTATTGAATTTAATTATTTTAAAGATTTTATAAACAATGATTTTAATAATTTGATATTCTTGGGTAGAAAAAAAAGGCAAGAAATTTAAATGAAGGTAACCTAATCTCAAGCCGATTCTTCTCCTCCTCTTTTGTATAATAATTTCTAGTATTATACCTAAACAATATAAATATTTATTTAATTAATTTGTTATATAGTTTTAATTCATTATCTATAGTCTATTTTACACATTTTTCAATATAAATATGTGTGCGCGCATAATGGAATATTGAAGGAAGCAAATAAGTCAAAGGGCTTATCAAACAAGCAAATCGCCTCGGAGTCCATTCCCTTTTGGAATCCGAATAAATTTAAAGTTTTTTGGTAGATTCATTGACCTTTCAATTCGACATGTATTATTCAGAAAAAAAAATACTCATGTTTCTAATATATTTTTTTATTTTTTAATAGTTATCATTTTAGATTTTTAAGAAAATTTCCAATTTTATCTGTAATTACAAACACTTAATTTTATAGATTATTAATGAAAGTATAATTTAATGAGGATATATATAACTTTTTTGTATTTTTTAAAAACTGTGAAAAAATCTAAAATGACATGTATTGTAAATTGGAGGGAGTATAATGTGTTTTTTTTTCATTGGCAATCAATCTAAAAACCTGTACTATCTTTTAACTTCTCAATATATAATTTAGCAATACAATCGTATAACGTTATTACAAAATAAAATGCTAATTAGATCACACTCACACATGTTATAACATAAAAAACTTTGTTAAATGTATAATTAGTAAGGAATAAAAAAGGAAGGTCGGGTTATTTTAGATAATATACATTTTATAAAAAGTATAGATTTTTTTTTTAATTCAAAGTTTTATTTACCTTTCGTGAAAAAAAAAGGAGCACAATTCTCAAAGCAGGTGTGGACCACAACCTTTATATTATAGCAGAAAAGGCCGAAACGCATATAGAAAAGCCAAGGATCATGAACCGTACGTTACATAAGTAGGAAAAATAGATATAAGCAATCAAAATAAAAAATATGAAAATCTGGAGTCTGAACAAAACTACAAATTTAAATTAGAAAATTCTGAGAGCACAAAAACTAACCGTTGGATGTGTTCTCAAACGTTGAATCGTAGCCGTTGATTAGCAACCCGAGAAGATTTTTTTATTATTTGTTTCCCGAATAAATTAGACTCATAATAAGACCCCGCCTCACAACAACGTGCCGTTTCTAATCAATGAGCCAAAACATCCTGCTGTTTCTATCAAAGACCTCTCTCCTCTCACAACGTCACGCTCGGGAACTCGCAGCGTCCGTAGCCTGAAAAAACGGCATAAAACACAAATATTAGGAATTTCATTGAATTAAGTGAATAAAACAAGGCTTTCTCCACTCTACTTTTTCCTAATTTTCTGCAAATTATTTGAAGACGGAAAAAGCATAAAAAGCCCTAACGTTCCCACCAAATAAATATAATTTGTCATTTTAAAATATTTTAATCATTTTATTAAATTGCCTTATAATTATTATTGATGTGGAAAACCGGATTCAAACATTATAAAAATAAAAACCGGGTTTTGGTGACTTACTCGGATCTTTAACGGTTTGGGTCGCGAGGCCGTTGAAATGACACGTGGCACCACTCTTCCTAAACTCGGCCCAATAAGAACTAAACGCAAAGCTGGCATGCGTCAAGATGAACTCGGGTTTGTTACACGGGCCACCGGGTCGGATCGGGTCACATGTATTATTCCCCTGCGAGCAAGCGTAGGATAGAGCCTCACCCAGCTCCGTCCAATTCGCTCCTTTAGCCACCACGCACCAAATCTTCCCCTTGTACGGCTCATTGTTCCCCGGCTCCGGCAACACATCCTCGTACTCTGTCGTCTTCCCCGACAGATCCATGTCGTATACCGGGTTCCCGTTCGGGTTATACAACCCGAAATGCCGCTCCGTGCCCGGACCCGGTTTCTGATTCTCGTTGTAGAGCGAGAAGATGAAAGCGGGTAAGACCCGGCCCGGTCGGGCGGGTGTTCCGACAGGTGGATCGATTGTGAGTTTCTTGACGACGTTGCGGTTGTACGTTGCGGCGTTGAAGATGTTGGCTCCGATCTGGTCGTAGTCTCCGTTGTTGGGCCAACCAGTTTCGGAGACCCAGATCCGAATATCCGGATACCCGATTCGTTCCATGGCGAAGACAAAGGCGTCGACCATTTGGTCGAAGAGGTTGTGGTACGTTAGATTCGTGGCGGGGTCGGTGATCGTGATGTTCTTCGATTCGAACAAGGCGTAATCGAGATCGATGTTTCTGGGGTCTTGTGACCAGGCGAAGTATGGGTACACGTCGACGAAGAGAAAGGATTTGGTCTTGTTGAGGAACTGGAGCATCGGTTTCATGACCAAACCCGAGATATCCGACCGGAACTCTCCGCTAGATGGTGGGTACGAGGTTTGGAGCACGTCCATGGCGAGTGTGGTTCCGACTTTTACCTTGTGGACACCCAGTCGCTTCAGCGATTGCTTGATCTTGCGCATTGCGGGTACGAGACCGGATCTGAGTTCCGGGTGCGGGTTCGAGAGGACTTCGTTGCCGACGAGGAGGTACAAGATCTTGGTGGTCGGGTAAAAAGGTAGGACATTGGTAAGGACCCAGTTGTCGGATTGGGTTCGGGACTTGGAAATATTGACGATCATCTCGTTTGGAACCATGACTGAGACGGCAATGTCGGTGCCGTTGAGTGCCTCGAGGATGGAGTGGTCGGCGTCGTAGATCTTGACGCGCGTCGCGTTCAGGGACCTTATGAGCTTCACTGACTCGGTCGGCGACGGGAGGCTGTCGCCGAGCTGTCCGTAGTTGACACCTGGTCGGCCGGAGAATTTGGCTCCTGGAGACGGAGAGAGAGAGAGAGAGTGAAGGAAAATGAAGCCGCCATTAACGGATGTTTTAGAAAGAGAGAGAAGTTACCTGAAACGAAGAGGAGGAGAGAGAATGTGAGGAGATGAAGCAGACCCATGAGATGATTTCTCTTCTTCTCCTTCTTGTCTGAACCAATGGAGAAACAGGGAGAGATTCAGAGTGTTCTCTGAAAAGTGAGAAGAAATGCCGAGAACAGAGGAGGAGGATGGGTTCGGAAAGGCGAGACGAGTGTACATTTAATAATGTTGAGAATTCCAATAATAAAAATAATAATATAAAATGATTTTGATCATTTGTATATTGTGGCTTGGATACGGAGGAAGTCAACTTCAAGTGAGATGTAAGATGATATACATTTGTCTTCACATTCGGTGGCATATATATACACATTTGCATTATACAAGTGGGTTTTTATTAAGGGCGTTTAATTCAATTTAATTTATCAATGTGTATATATAAGAATAACAACCCATTGGTGTATATATTGGATAATTCTCTGGCTAGAGAGTGACCAATTAAACTATACCGCTACATATATGGATCTAAATTTATAAAGATTAAAAAAAAAAGTTAAAAAAAAAAAAAAAGTGATGGGGAAACTCGCTGCTGTTGGCATTTGCATTTTAAAAGATATTTATTTATATTGAATCATTAAAAAAAAATATGATCATTAAATGCTTTCGTTGATGTGAAAGAGTATGCATGTACAAATCCTTCCAAATTTCCAAAATAAACATTTTACCACACTGAAACCCGAGCGTATCATTTGTTTACTTTTTATAAGTTTATAAACTAACAAGTATAAATAGTTTTTTTTTAAAAAAAAAAATGGGTTGATATTTTGAAGAAATAAAAGCTTATAAATGTGGAAACTCGTGCAATCACGTGGACTATACCATATATTAATGAATAATAAATGCCATGTTCATATTTAGGAATTAGGACTAAGAGGAACTAAAACTACACGCTAAAACTTTAGCTTATCTGACAACCATCCGCATAGAGATGAAATTAATATAGTTGAAATATATTTTTGGTAAAGAATATAGTTAATATATTTTATGTATTTATATTTGTGATTACAGGTGTCGATACTTGTACTCTTATCAACATCATGTCTTAAATCGTAAATCTTTTAGTACGTAAAATAGACGACACTTTTAACAAACTTTAAAACCAAACTATGGCGGTGATAATAAATCTCAAATCTGCATATTAATTTCCATATTAAAAATATTAAACATTTAAATTACAAGAAAAATTAAATATCTAGGGGAAAAAATCATATTAAAAAGAGCCTATTAATAAATACATTTTAATTTATACCAATTAAAATATATGGCCCAATGAAACAAATCCAGCGCTATTGAGTAGGCCCATAATGTCAAAGGAAAGAAAAATAGCGAAAGCTGCCAAGAACGAGGAAACACGAAAGGGACCTCAAAAAAATCCTGGAGAGAAACTGGGAGGCGATTTTGGTGGGCAAGAAGATGAGTCTGAGACCCTCTCTGCTTCTGATCTTCTTCGCTGTTGCTTCATTCCAAGGTTCTGATTCTGTTCGCGATGTGCTTAGATCCTTCTGTTCGTTCTGTTAATTTTGGAGAAATTTCGTTGAAAGTTTTTGAATCAGATCTCGCTTAGCTCGAACGTGATCCGAGATTTGTCTGTCTAATTTGTGCTGTCGTTTTTTTTGTTCCTGGTTTTGTTGTTTTTGCTGTTGTTCTCCAGTTTTCGCGAAGAAGACAGGGGACGTGACTGAGTTGCAGATCGGAATCAAGGTACATTTCTTTTGAGATCACCGAAATATGTGATACAATGCGATCGATTTTTAGGGTTTTCCCTGAATCAGCTTGTGTTTTCCTTTCGCGGGCACTCAAGAGGTAGAAAATCGGTGTTTATAGTGATAGTGTGATACCAAACCAAAGCCTGTTATCGGAGAGCTTCGCTGATTCTTTTGTTTTCATTTAATTGCTCGGTAGAAGATTCAGCCATCTGTAGGCAGCGTATGATATGTTATTGGAGTTGTTCCGTGTTTTCTTCTGAATTAATGGTCTAGTCTTGGAATGCAACGTGACGAGAGTAGTGGATCTGGATCTAGGTCATTGCCTTTTGGGACCGAGATTCTCTGTTTCCAAGAACTGGTGAAGCTCCACACTTGCCCATGTTTGGTCAAATGAGGTTACAATGTGTCTCGGAGAATCTGTGAAACTTGAAGTTTGTGAGAACCGACAAGCATTAACCTTTATTCATGTTAGGATGGTGCATGGGATTGTCTTGTCAATCACCACCTCGCCCACATTGTGAACCTGTGAGTTTGAATTGCTTTTTGCAGTATAAGCCAACGACGTGCGAACTTCAGGCTCACAAAGGTGATAGGATCAAGGTGCACTACAGGGTAAGCTTGTTCAAAGTTTATGTATATCGGATTGAGTCTTTGTTTAGGCAAAATGTCTCTGCAGTATTGTCTGCAAATCATGAAAGACGGTATCGTCGTGGTGTGTCTGAATGTTACATTGTTACATTGCAGGGGAAACTCACAGATGGAACCGTGTTTGATTCGAGTTTTGAGAGGGGTGATCCCTTTGAGTTTGAATTAGGCAGTGGTCAAGTTATCAAAGGTAAGTCATGATGGCTCGGTGAATGGACTCTACTGTCTCACGGCTTCCGTTCCTTCTGGCAAGTGTGAATGGAAACAACAATATGTTTGTGCAGGATGGGACCAAGGATTGTTGGGTGCATGCGTAGGCGAGAAGCGTAAGTTGAAGATACCCGCGAAACTCGGATATGGGGAACATGGCTCTCCGCCTACTATCCCTGGTAACACCCATTCTCATCTTTGCTCACGCATTGATCCAATTGACCAAAGAGGCATGAAATCTGAAATTTCATACAAAAAGAAGGTGTTTCATTTCAGTTAAATGGAAGGATCTTGCGAAAATTTCTTTCAGGTGGAGCGACATTGATATTTGACACAGAGCTTATAGCGGTGAACGGGAAAACTACGAGCGGAGACGACGAGCTCTGATTCTCGTTTTAACGTGTGTTTTTTTTAATGTCAAAAGAAAAAACAAAGAAAGACTCCCATGAACTTTTGTCCTAAAGAGACTCATAAAACGAGTTATGTGATCAGATGAGGACATAGTTATTATGATGGCCCATTTATTTAGCCAATGTCCGGGTTTCGGATGATAAAATGTGTACCGTTTCCAAATTCATGTTTTGGGTATCCGATTTTAAATTTCCCTTATTTTGGGTATGAGAACCCATCATCATCCCCGTTTTATCCGTATTCTTTTGTAATTTTTTATAAAAAATGAATCCGAACTCGATTTACGTCAATTCAATGTTCGAACATCTGGCACCGTTGTCAATATTACGTCTTGTACGCCAAGAAGACCTTAGGCTCGAATAAAAATAGCTGTGCGATCGTGTGTAAAATAGTTTCTGTGTGATACCTTTTTTTTTTTTTGCAATATAAAGAAATATCAATTGGCTGATTTATGCAACGCAACAGCGTGAAATATTATAATATTATTATTATTATTGGTTGGCGCCAAAAGAAAACGGTGAAACTTGGAGAAAGTGAGCAACGGTCTCCGAGACTCGGAACGCTTTCAAGTTTCAAACCTAAAATATTTCAGATTTTTTTTTGCAATATAAAGAAATATCAATTGGCTGATTTATGCAACGCAACAGCGTGAAATATTATAATATTATTATTATTATTGGTTGGCGCCAAAAGAAAACGGTGAAACTTGGAGAAAGTGAGCAACGGTCTCCGAGACTCGGAACGCTTTTAAGTTTCAAACCTAAAATATTTCAGAACTTTCTAGAACCCCCCCCCCCTCTCTCTCTCTCTTCATCCCACACGTATAAAACCCCCATCTCCCCTCTCTCTCCTCACCGGTCGATTCGTCTCCCCCCTTTTCTCTCTCTTGATTTGTGCTTCGCTGTTTCGTTGATCGGAGATGGGTGAGGATTTCGACATGCCTGCGGCCCACGACGGTGCCGATGTGGCTCCCTCCATGAAGGAGATTGGGAAGCAAGGTTTGAAGAAGAAGCTCGTCAAGGAAGGTGAAGGGCGGGAAACTCCTGAGACCGGAGATGAGGTTGAAGGTCTGTTGCTCTACTCCTTCCTGTTGTTTTTGTTTTTTTCTTCCTTCCCCGTGATTTTGTAACTTGTTCGGGGGTCATTTCTTCTCTAGTGCATTACACCGGAACTTTGTTGGCTGGGACAAAGTTCGATTCTAGCCGAGACAGAGGAACTCCGTTCAAATTCACTCTGGGACAAGGTGGGTTGTTTTTTCCCCGTTACTTGTTGTTGATGTTTCGATTGGCTCTCTTGTTCTTGAGTTGGTTTTGGACAGAATGGTGCTCGACTAGTCGAGTAATAATTATCTTGATGCTTCTATCGAGTCGAAGCGGGGAAGCAGGCTTATGGAACCAGTGATGGTGTTATTCCAGAAGTTGGAATGTAAAAGTATATGTATGATCGTTCTGTTGCATGTATGGTGGTTTTATCTGTAGCTCTTGGGTGATGGATTACCCATTGCTGTGATAGCAGAAAATGGAGATAATGATGTTTCATCAGTCCAGTATCGGTCGATAAACTTCCCGGGACTGGCATGACTATGCTCTTTCCTGTGTCCTGGATTTCGTTTGTTCCTTATTTTGATTTGGTTTGGTTTTTCGCTTTCAGGGAATGTCATCGAAGGTTGGGACATTGGGATCAAGACCATGAAGAAAGGTGAAAATGCCATTCTCACCATCCCCCCCGAGCTAGCGTATGGAGAGTCTGGTTCACCTCCAACTATCCCTCCCAATGCGATGCTGCAGTTCGATGTCGAGCTGCTGTCTTGGGTCAGTGGTAAAGACATATGCCGTGATGGTGGCATATTCAAAAACATAGTTGTTGAAGGAGATAAACGGGAGAAACCAAAGGACCTTGATGAAGTGTTAGGTGAGGTTTCCATTCGAATGATTCTGATCCATTATCTTGATCTGGATCTATCTTAACATTCTTTGCGCTGATGTGGGTACTGAGTCGATACCTTTTCAGTTAAGTATGAAGCTCGACTCGAGGATGGCACTGTTGTTGGAAAGTCTGCTGGTGTAGACTTCACAGTCAAAGAAGGTAGCGTTTTCAGTTCCTTAAAAGTCATGTCTTGTTCGTCTCTGTGTTAAGTTTTGTTCTGTTTACGAAACAGGTCATTTCTGCCCTGCATTTGCTTTGGCCGTCAAAACCATGAAGAAAAGGGAGAAAGTTCTTCTAATTGTGAAGCCGCAATGTAAGTTTGACTCACAGAGTTTGTCGTATTGTTAGTCTAATTCTTGTTTTTTTTGCGTTCGTAATGGCTGACTTTCATTCTTAACAACGTAGATGGCTTTGGGGAGAGCGGTAAACTGGCATGTGATGGTCAATCCGCCGTCCCACCCAATGCGACGCTTCAGATCGACCTTGAGCTGGTTTCTTGGAAAACTGTGTCTGAAGTAACCGACGACAAGAAGGTCATCAAGAAGATTCTAAAGGAAGGAGAAGGATACGACCGTCCTAATGAAGGAGCCATCGTCAAAGGTTGGTTCTTGAAATGTCGACCATTCAGATGTTGAGATCCGACAATTTCATCTTGTGCTATTTCTGCAGTGAATTTGATCGGGAAGCTTCAAGACGGTACCGTGTTCCTGAACAAAGGCCATGGGGAAATCGAGGGGCCATTTGAGTTCAAGACAGATGAAGGTACATGTTCTAGATACTGGAATTTTACTTTAGACCTCTTTATACTCCTGGATGGAGGGATGTGTTTGGAAACAGAACATGTTTGATCGGGTTTTATGAAACAGAGCAAGTAATTGAAGGGGTAGATATGGCTGTGATGAGCATGAAGAAGGGTGAGGTGGCATTCGTCACCATCTCACCAGAGTATGCTTTTGGTTCCTCTGAATCTCAGCAGGA